GGGAGTCTGATCATCTGGTTTCTAGTTTCACTCCGACACAAACAAGCAATAGTTTCAGGCAATTTGTTTAACCTTTGGGGACTTACTCTTTTCATATATAGTATAACAAAGTTGGAGCTCATGCTCCATCCTCATCTCATCCTCTACTTATTACTCCATATCAATTTCTTGTCCCTGTTATATCTTGGTAGATTCTAGATAAGGAGAGATCCTGTCCCCTTCTTCAGTAGAGGAACCCATGACTAGCTACATAATTTGTGGGGCCCATTGCAAAATAAAAATGCCAGGCTTCTTGTTAAAAAATTATTAAAAACTTCAATGACAACAGAGCATTAAACTAAGCATGGGGCCCCTGTGAGTGTGGAAATTCTTTGTGATTGAACAGATCACACACACCATGAAGCTGGCCCTAGAGAGACCAAAGGAATTTTTTTTTTTTTTTTTACATTCAGACACTCTCTTCTGCTCTTAACAGAATGAAAATCAGAGAAATCTTGGTAGAACAGTGACATGAATCATTAAAAGAAAGAAATAACAGGAATAAAGTATTAGAAAGCAAATGTCTTAGATTGACCAAGATGATAAAATAGTGGCTTATGACTTTCCATCCTCCCACAGATTTGCCAAATATACAGCTACACATGGATCATTACCCTCCGAAAGAAATCTAAAAACCAACTAACTCCTCCACATCAGCCTACTGAGAAAACACTCACATTAAAATGAGTAGGAAATACTGAGACACACACTATAAGCCTCACCCCTGGCACAGTGCCTGACAATTAGGAGGGAACTCCCAACTCCCAGCTTTTCCCTGCGAGTGAAGGGTTTGGACTACACATATAGTGCTCAACTTTTAAGGCTACTATTTGAAGGATGGGTCCCCAAATATCCTAGCTCAGAGAGTCAACAGGGTTTGGCATTCATAAGTCCCATAGGACCATAACAAACAAAGAAGCAGCTGTTAAACAGGCACATGAACACTCCTCCCACCTATTCCCCATGGCTCAGTGCAGATGGAGCAGGCAAAGGTGCCCATCTCCCAGTTTTTCCCTGGAAGAGAGTTTGAGTGCAGAATTTCCCAGCTGCTGCCTGAGGGTCTGGCTTATAATCAGTTTGCATTTGGGTACTGACTGGGATCCTCCTAGAAGACCCAAAAAGCTGGTGGGCACTTGTCCCATATTCTCCCTCTAACTCACTTCAATAATAAAAAACAAACCAAGCTGCAACCTTTTCCCTGGAAAGAAACTGTCCACACATAAGGTGCTCCAAATTTTGTAGCTGCCACTCAAGGAACAGGTTCTCAAGTCACCTAACTAATAGTTACCAGGGCTTGGCATTTACAAATCTCATAGGGTCATATTAAACAACAACAACAACACAACAACAACAACAACAAAAAGTACTTTTTAAATGGGCACACAAGCACTTTTGCAGCTCTCACTTCCCCAGCTCAGCACAGAAGGAAGAGGCAAACATTCACCTCCCAGTTTCTCCCTAGAAGGCACTTGATTGTGTACCTTCCTAGCTACTGTCTGAGGTTCTGGCTTCTAGTTAGACTGCACGTGGGAGCAGGCTGGGATCCTCTCAGGACCTGAAAGAGCTGGTGGGCATGTCTCCTACAATCTCCTCCCAACTTGTGCAGCAGTAAAACCAAGTCTCCAGTTTCTCCCTGGAAGGAGCATGTCCACACATCTAGCACCCCAAATGTTACAGCTGCCACATAAGGGACTGGCTCCCAAATCATCCAGCTCTGGGTGCTGACAGGGCTCAGCATTCACAGGTCATCTAGGATTACACAATACCAAGAGATGGCTCTATATGGGTGTGCAAGCACCTGTAGCAACTATTCTCTCTGGTTCAGGAAAGAGCAAAGAAAAACACTTAGTTCCCAGTTTCTCCCTGATCGGGACAAGACTGTACATCTAATATCCTGACTTTCCCAGAGATTGCCTGAAGGTCAGCCTTCTAGTTAGCCTGCATTGGTGAGATGATGGGGCAATTAGTTTTCATGAAACTGTGAACAGGCATGTGGGCACTTCTCACATCTTTGGGACAATAATGGGTCTTGGGAGTCTCAATCTACTGTGACCTATAAGAACAAAGACAGCAGAATGGACAATCACAAAGATTTGAGAAGTAACTAGGACCTCAGGCAAGTCTGATTGATGTGGCTCAAGTCTAGCCAGTCAAGACTGGGAGAGATGGCTGTTTCATCTAATGCATAGAAAACAATGCAAAGAGCCGAAGAAAATGAAGAAACAGGGAAATGTGTTCCAAACAAAAAGCAAGATAAATTTTTAGAAACCAACCTTAATGAGGTAGAGATAAGTGATTTATCTGACTGAGAGTTCAAGATAATGGTTATAAAGATGCTCACCCAAATCAGGAGAGCAATAAGGGAACAAAGTGAGAATTTCAACAGTGAGATGGAAAATATTAAAAAGTACCAAATGGAAATCATAGAGCTAAAGAATACAATAACTTAAGTAAAGAATTCAATAGAGGGGTTCAACAACAGACTAGATCCAGTGGAAGAAATGATCAGTGAACTCAAAGTCAGGACAGTGAAAATCATCCAATGAGAGAAGAAAATAAAAGAAAATAAAAGAAAGAAAGAATGAAGATAGCTAAGGTACTCATAGCACACTATCAAGTGGACCAATATATGCATTATAGATATCTGAGAAGCAGAAGAGAGAGAGAAAGGGACACGAAACTGACTCAAACTGACACAGTTTGAAGACCAAGAGACTTCCTAAACCTGAGGAGAGAAAGAGGCACCCAGATGAAGGAAGCTGAAGTATTACCAAAGAAGATGAATCCAAAAGAGACCCACAACAAGACATACTATAATTGTATTGTCAAGTGTTAAAGAAAATGAGAGAATCTTAAAATCAGCAACATAAAAGTGACTTGTTATGTATGAGGGAACCCCCAAAAGACTATCACCAGATTGTTCAGCAGAACCTTGTAGGCCAGAACAGGGTGGGATGATATATTCAGAGTGCTAAAAAACAAAAAAACAAAACACCTACCCAGCATAGATATGCTTCAAAATTGAAGGAGAGAGGGATACCTGGGTGGCTCAGTGGTTGAGTGTCTGCCTTTAACTCAGGGCATGATCCCGAGGTCTGGGATTGAGTACCATGTCAGGCTCCTACAGAACGCCTGCTTCTCCCTCTGTCCATGTCTCTGACTTTCTCTCTCTGTCCCTCATGAATAAATAAATAAAATTGTTAAAAATATTGACGGAGAGAGAAAGATTTTAATGGACTTAAATAAGATCCAACTACATACTACCTGAAAGAGAGTAACTTCAGTGTTAAGGAGACATACACACTAGAAGGGAAGAGATTAATTTTTTTCCATGCAAATAAAAAGGGAGCAGTTGTAGTTATAACAGACTAATTAAACATTAAATGTAAAATGATAGGAAAAGTAAGATCAGGATATAAAGGGGTGAGTGGTGGTTGCCAGGGGAAGAAATGGGGAGAAGCTGGTAAAAGGGTACAAATTTTCAGTTATAGGGCGAATAAGTCCTAAGGATTTAATATACTGTATGGGGACTATAATTGGTGATACTATACTGTGTATTTGAAATTTGCTAAGATAGTAGGTCTTAAGCATTCTGACCAAAATAAAACAAAAAGGTAACTGTGAGGTGATGATGTGTTAATTAACTTGATAATGGGAATCAGCAAGTTGTACACTTAAATATATTATAATTCTATTTGTCAAATGTATTTCAAAAAAAGTGGGAAAAACAATAGAAAGTTAATGTTTTGTGGTGCTGGGCCCAGGCCACTCACAGATGCAATAGGTAACTCTGATAGTCTCCAAAGACGCTTCCAAAGAATTATACTCCTTGGGCTGCACCTGTGACTTGTGTTAACCAATAAGATATCACAGAGTGAGGTTGTGCCAGTTCTGGGCCTCCCTTTTGAAAGCAGCCTCTGCTTCCTAATTCATGACCACTTGCTTTGAGGAGCCTGAGTCACCTTACACGAAGCTCAGTTCCCCTGTTGGAGACATCAAGCAATAGACCACTTGAAAGCCAGCCATGTAATGAGGAGAGGACTGGAAGCCACATGGAGAGTGAGAACCAGCTGTTTCAACGTCCAGTTGAGCCTTCTGATGACTCTGGCTACAGCCATATCTGACTATAACCTCACTAGGGACCCCAAATGAAGTCAGCCTTCAAACCACCCAGCAGAGCCCAGTCATCCCACAGAATCCTGAGAGAAAATAAAGTTGTTGCTTTGAACATTAAGATTGGAAGTGGTTTGCTCCACAGGAAGATAGCCTCACCAGTGACTGTCTATCCCATGTGACTTCAAGGAGGTCAGAAAGCTCCCCAGTCTCACACTGTTTATAGGACCATTGTATGCCAAGTTCCCAGGGGAGGGAGTGAGGAAAGGAGAAGTTGCCAAAGAAGGGAAAGAAGGCAGAGGTTGGAGCCATGCAGAGAAGAGAGCCTCAGCTGCTTGCCAGTCTCAGCACCAACACTTGCCTTTGGGCCAATGGTTCCAATGCTGTTTCTTAGGTTTTAGCTTTCCCTTAGGTGAACTTTGTTTTGAAACAGTCTACCATTGTAGTGACAGCTAGAATGAAGCCAAGGTTATGTGTTCATTTCTCCCATGGTTATTTGGTTGTGTTCCTCTTCTAAAGATCCCTCACTGAATATCAATAGGTGGGTTAGTTCCAAGGAAGACCAGGCCAGATTCACAGGGTGGGACGACTGTAAACATGCTTATTGGTATCTTTACTCACATAGGGCCAGAAAATTCACTGTCATGTAGTTAAGACAGGGTGTTTTAAGCACTTATTATTTCACATGGTATGATTTTTTTTTCTCTCCATGTCAAGAAAAATCAACCATTTAAAACCTTGTTTCCAAAAATAAATAAAATAAAATAATAAAATAAAATAAAATAAAATAAAATAAAACCTTGTTTCCTTTACTCTTAAATCATTGTTTTTTAAAGGTGGGAGTGAAAGTTATCCAGGTCTATAAATGTCTTTTCAAAAAAGTAGTATCTCTTTTTATTAGTGTATGCAGAGTTTTAAAAGAACTATAATGAAGCATGCTAACTACACGAATATCACTTTACATAGCATTTTTAATCATTGTAAAAGACAAGCCATTTGCTCATTGGTTCTTGATATTTTCCCATTTATATTCAGATTAATGAAGAACTAATAGCCATCATCTGGCTGAATTGTAGCAAGGAGTTTACATTGTGAAAGTCTCATATATAAAACTTTATTCTCTAATAGAAAAAAGGGAAATAGTAAAAATTATTAATATTTAAAATAGTTATAAAATACATTTCCCTCTCTAAATGGCTTGGTAACTTTAAGAGTCTTTCCTATGTCCTTGAATATTCAATTCTAGTAAATATCACAGCCAAAGAGTTCCAAGCGAAGTGCAATACTTTGATTCCATGTTTTAGGAATGATGCGGATAAACCTGGAAATAATTGGTGGGTTGAAAAAGTTCTTCACGTGTCCTTTGACATTATTATTTCCTTCGAAAATCTGAAAGCAAAGAGAATGAGAAGATCTATGAGAAGATCTTTAATGATGATGTAATGGGTATGAAAATCTTATGATAATTTTTTGTTTTTTGCAATTTTAGTTCAAGCTGAGGACATCAATGAACACATATATTATCAAAGATGATCTTTGGTCAATTATGAAATCACATGCCTAGCAGACCTCTTTAGGGATTCCACTTCACTGGCTGGAAAAATAGAGACATTTGACATCTGACATGGTGCTGTGGAGCAGCTATGAAACCATCTCTGCCCATAGCCCCTTGGTAGCTGTGTGACTTTGGGCAGGTGACATATATTCTCTGATTCTCCATTTCCTCACCAGAAAAATGGAGATAACAAAAGTTTACCTCACAGGAGTCATCCTTAAGATTTTTCAAAAAGTATGTAAATATATGACAGATGCATAGTAAGTGCCAGACAGTGGTTAGTTGTCACCAACATTTAAAGTAAAATGCAACCATGTGTTTTTACTTATTCTTTTTTGGCAAATGCCTTCTATCCTCACTTGAACTGTGTTTCATGCTTTTTTTTTTCCTTTCAGCATCCCCAGCAGGTTCCCCAACATTTACACACAGCAGAAGCTAAGTCACTATTTGTTTATGACAACGATGCTTACCCAGCTATAGAGACACTTTAGTACAGTGACAGATAAAACCAGCCAAACCAACCAACCGACCAACCAACCAATCAACCGACTAAACAAACATCTCAGGAACTTAAAAAGAGAGAGAAGTTCAAATTCATTCACCAAGATAAGTGCTGAGCCCAGGATGAGCATCCAGTAAAGGTTTATTCCCTTCTGTGTTGCCCCTCCTACTGGCTCCAGCCTGATTTCCCTTCCTGGAATTTTAGACTCACCACCTTAGTTAGATATGCCCCCAGGAGCATTTTAGAAACAAGGAATTAAGGACTATAATGGAGTAGTTCGTCTTGCAAGAAATTAGTTTCTTCATCAGTGAGGATAACAACTGTCTCCTGCTTAATAATATGATACACAATGCTTCATGGCTGTGGGTATTTGATCAGTCAAGAATAACAAGTATACCCAAGGTAATGCTAATATGATGTTATTTCACAGTGGAGGGTTTTCTAGGCCCATGTTATGGACCGCATGTTGGTGTCCCCCTCAAAATAATACATCGAAACCCTAATCTTCAGTGGGATAGTATTAGGAGGTAGAGCCTTTGGGAGGTAATTAGGATAAGAGTAGGTTGTGAGGGTGGGGCCATCCTGATGGGATTAATACAAAAAGAGGAGAAGACGTGGGATCTCTCTTCCTGCACCAAGGAAGGCCATGGGGGGACATAACCAAGGAGAGAGCCTTCATCAGGAACCCAACCATGCTGGCACCCTTCTCTTGGATTCCAGCCTTCAAAACTGTGAAAGAGAAGTGTTTGTGGCTTTCAACTATGATCATTTATTACAGCAGTGCAAGCCCACTGAGACAGCTCTTTACCATCTTTCTCAATCAGAGCTAATGATGGCTCATACCTCTCCCTGGTGTTTGGTTCTATTTCACAGGTGGCCCAGCCACTGCTGAAAGATAGTCTGCATGGTCTCTGTCCCCACACCAGCTACCTGCCAAGCTAGGGTTCGGACTTATTAGAGAGGAGGTGCATGTCCACGCATATTTGTCAAAGGCAAAGAGCTATTTGCAAATATAGGTACTTCTCTCATAGCAGTTTGTGAATTGCTTTGTTGTTGCCAGGACAGCACCCTATACCTTGTCCACCATGGAGGATTTCTGCCTGTAAGGCTTCCATTCCATTCCCTGGTCACTGTAGTGGATGGTGTAGCTTTTCACATACATTTCGGAGGACAGAGACTTGCAACCCTGTGTTACAATTGCAGTTATTTTCTTGATTTTGAGCAGATCAATTTGTAACCACTGTTTGTTGTTGTTTGCCTGTAAAAATGATGAGGACACATGAATAAGGCAGATATTAAATCCTTTGATTTTTTTAGACCAAGGTATCAGAAATGTGCAGTGCTCAAAAGCATTTCTTTTCTCTCATCCCTTATGATTTTCTATCTCCTAAAGGACTTCCCTGTTCCCTCTTGTTTGTTGTTGCAGACATATATAAAATTTTACTAGAGTATTTCATATCTTGTACAATAATGGTTTATTTGTTTGTATCCCTTAGTCTTTGAAGGCAGGGATCTATTGTGTTTCAATGTATAGCACACAGTTGGTATTCAGCGAATATTGCTGAATGAATAAATGAATGAATCTTGAGAAAAAGTTAGATTGCTAAATCATCTTTAAATATTCTTTTCTTAAACAGATTTGTTTAAATGATGATATTGCTGATGGGTTATCTGGGAAAGGATTGAATAGTATCCTCTCTAACTTATTTTAGAAAAGTCCCACTTTTCTTTCCATCACTTCTGTCAACTAGGAGGAATAGTCCAATTTCTTCTTTTCTGATATTTCAAATAAATGTAATATTTGAAATACCTGATAAAGCCATGCCTAGGACTTGATATGGCATGATAGATATCCTGTCTCTGGCCTAACAAAATGCCTAATCACATGTTTGCTGACATACTTGGAGAAAGAGGATCAGAAGGACTGACTTTTAGAGTAATCAGAGACAATTTTTCACCTTTGGAGGATACATCATGCCCCATAGTCTCATTGAGTTCTATATGAAATAGTGAATATTGATGTATTTCTTTAACATCCCTTATGTGTACATGTATGTATGTGTATATGTTTATACACAGATATATGTATATATTCATATATTGTATGTATTTTTAAAGCAACTTGATTGAATTAAAATTATTGTATTAATTTTTTTTGTTAATTTTGTAACATTCTCTAGTGACATTTGGTGGTTTCTTAGTGTATCACCAGGCTGAATAGTAACCAATCCAGGTTGTACTAGTGATACAGAGGCAGATATCTAGAGGGTTTTTGAAGGTATAAAAAATTTTTCATAGACATAAAAGAGGTAGAGACACCTCAGTTTGTATGTGTGCCTGCATAGTGTCTAGCCTCTCTAAAGAGACCCTATAAAGACATCTAATCTTAATAAAAGATTAAGTGAAACGGTTATGATTTAGGATTCCAGATTTGAAATAATGGCATTAAAAATTAGAATTAGTATTTCATCTTTGAAGCCATTATTATATCACAAAGACTAAAAGTGGATTACATACAGAACAAAGTTTTCCAAAAAGCTGTAAAATACAAGTTATTCCATGAATAGATCTAAAGGGTTTTCTGGGGGAAAAAATGGATGAGATCCTTTCTCCTTAACTTTTTCTTTTATTTTTTATTATTTTATTTATGTAATGATATAAATGCAATGCAATATAACATTATTACTTTTATTATTTTAACTTCTTTAGGTCTCTTTTACCACTCTGCAAAATTGCAAAATGAGGTGTCTGCATGGCTTCAAATGGTGGGAGGGCCAATGACCTGTTTATCGGGAATATAGGCTTCCTGATTCTCCCACCGAACTAAGCTAAAATGATTTAATCTCTTTTGTGTTTAAATTTAAAAGGGAAAGACTAGACTGGATGCTTTGTAAACCCTTGCCGTTCTTACATTCTGTGGAGTCTGTGATGGACCAGAAATTAGTTTTGAGACACAAATGTCAGTTCCCAAGACTACCTGTATGGGGTCCATCCAAGCTCTTTTGTTTTCTCCACTACCACCACAACTCCCTTTCCATTGCTGGCAGCTTAACATAAATATAGGACCTGGGATTCTATGGAGTTCAGGGAACTAGAATGTAGGTATCTCAAGGGAGGAACATCAGAGGATAGAAAATAAGGAAGGGTTAAGTTGATTGATAGAATCATTCTGATTTTCGATGCCATTGAGATTTTTCAAGTTAGTTGAAGAGTGAAATGAAAATGAGTAAACTATTAACCATTAGCCTAAAAGTAAGTCACTGGAATTATTCAATGGGCTAATATTAGAGGCAATATAATTCTCTGGAAGATGCTTATTAAACTTGGGCCACTGATTTACAACCCTGGTTTTGCAGCATTTTGCCATGCCTCCAACTGTCTAAAGGAAAGTCACAAAGTTCTCAAAAAAAAAAATAGGAACAAAGAAATCTAAATAGCACTATTAAGAAAATGAAAAGTATTGCTAAATTTGAAACAAGAAAGTGTTGCAATCTAAATCAATTATCACTAACATGAATTGTTTTAATTAGGAGTTGGCAAACTACAGCCCAATGGCCATATTGGGCCCCCTGCCTATTTCTGTAAATGAAGTTTTATTGGAACATGGCCATGCTCATTTATTTATTGTTTATAGCTGTTTTCCTGCTACAATGGCAGAGTTGAGTAGTTATGACTGAGAACGTATGGCTCACAGAGTCTAAAATATTTATTATCTGGTCCTTTGTGGAAAAATTTTCCCATCCCTGATCTAAATCAAGACTAGACCAAGAAACTCAGAAATGATTAAAAAAGAAGAAAGAAAGAAAGAAAGAAAGAAAGAAAGAAAGAAAGAAAGAAAAAAAAAAGAAAGAAAGAAAGGAAGAAAGAAACTCTCTGAGCCAAAATCAGATATCTCCAATATCAAGTCAACAGATATTCTAGATTCTCAGACGTAGGATCATAATCTGCAGAAACAGAAGATTATATTCTGATTTCCCAGGATCCCCATGTTCTCTTTAGTGAGGGCCTTTGTTTTCTTCTGGAAGACTGAGTGAACTCCATTCATAGGCATATTTTACCTTGGCTTGCCAGGCATTCACACGACCCTGGGCATTAAGACGGGCACGGAAGGGTTCCCAGTAATCTCCCCACCAAGATTTTTTAAATGAGGAGGCTGTGATTTGCTTGTTTTCTATTTTTCCACTTTCCATGCCCAGTGGCGTGGAGCATCCTGTCAAAAGAAAAATAATGTGATTAATTATGCCCCACCAGTATTCCTTGCATGGTATTTTGTACCTGCAGAGGAGACAAGAAATAATATCTCTACTAACAATAAAAACAACCATTGCCAACAATGGATAGTTATTGCCCACATGTCAAATCCTATTTTTAGGCTCTACATGTATTACTTGATGCTCCTAATTACCTCCATTTTACAAATAGGAAAACAAAAAAAAAGCACAGCAAGAAAAATAACTTGCCTGAAGTAACACTACTAGAGGAATCAGAAACTAAATTGGAGCCCAGGAAGTCTGACACCCAAACACCATGTTCTAAATATTTAAACTCATTTTCTTCCTTCAGAGAGCTATGGAAGCTTCTGTCTTTTTTTTTTTTTTGAGGTAGAAAATATTCCTACATTGTCTATGTATATAACAGTATATTCTATTTCTCTGTCTTAAAAAAGCTATAAAGAAGAAGATACAGTGGACCCTTGGTCATCACGTTCGACAGTTCATTTTAAACTCTTTGAGGATGATTCCTGTTATGCACCATTGGGAATTTTGCCAACATGTGCACTTGAATGTTAGTCCTCAGGTTGTCTGTGAACATGAGAAACATAGTGAGTGAGTGCTGACTGCCCATCATCATCATCACCTCTGTGATGCTTAGTTCTTGTTGGTAAATCATGCAGACATTTTCTTGAAGTGATATCTTTCTTCATGAAAAAAAAGATTAAAAAAAAACCTACTGCTAATAGTGATTATATCAAGAAAATGAGATTTTTTTAAAGTAATGCTTCTTGAATAGAAAATGTTTTGAATAGATTAATAGTGTTGATTATCACATTTTAGAACAGTTTAAATCTCTGATCTGAGTAAACTACCATTTGCATCATATACCATATGGAAAGAAAAAAAACAGTGACCCTTAAAAATCTTTGTTTTATATATTAGAATTTTAGTATGGTCATTTATGATTACCTGGATTTATTTATACCACAGGTCACATTATATCCACTGAAAAATACCAGCTTACATAGAAAAAGCCTGACTACCTAAATAGGGAGCCAAATGGAATGTAGAGTTTAATCAAAGTTTCAGGAAGTTTGGGGGTGCGTGGGTGGCTCAGTCAGTTAAGGCTCCAACTCTTGATTTTGGCTCAGGGTTGTGAGATCAAGCCCGCCTCAAGCTCCACACTGAACAGGGAGTCTGCCTGAGATTCTCTCTCTCCTTCTCCTTCTGCCCCTCCCCACCAGCACATACTCACATACTCTCTCTCTCTCTCTCTCAAATGAATAAATCAATCTTAAAAAAATGTTGCAAGAAGTTGGTAAGCACTTTAGATTTTTAAAGCATTCATTGAACATCTAATATATGCCAGTAATGTTGCTAGATACTTTCATTACATTAAAGTCTGAGTGACCTGTGGACTTTGGAAGAGTCAGGCCTAGTCTGAAGCTTAGTTCTTATTGAAATAGCCTGATGGAAGTTATTCTAAGCTAGGGCTTTTCCTTGGAGGGTCAGGGCACTGTCCCTGCCATCCTGGTACTGTTAAGAGATGGTACCTACCCTCTGGCTGCTAGAACCAGTCTTGGTCTAGGTCACCATGAGAGTTTACCTGAGCAGAAACTGTTTCACCAAGGTTTTTACTAGGCACCTCTGTGATTGAAGAGAACTAAAAATTCTACAAGTTCTTCATATCTACTAAAGCTGGATTCTCTGAGAGGCATTCAAGACATAATGCATCTTAGTTCCTTACCGTTAACCTCACAACCTTGCAGCTCCAATCGAAGAGCAGGTCTATTATAGGATCTAGTTGGAGTGATCCTAATATATCTAGCCACAATTGGTGGGTCAAAATTATTCTCTTTTATTGTAGAGGCATCTGAATTGCCATCAAAATACTAGAGGAAAAAAAAGGAAAGCTTAGTTATTAAACAATTATCTATAAAGTAATTTTATAATAAAATTTCAGTTTAACTTAATATCGTCACATTAAGTTTTCATGTGGCCTGAATTAAACCTTGGTCTTAAGAAATTGGAGGGATCCCTGGGTGGCGCAGCGGTTTGGCGCCTGCCTTTGGCCCAGGGCGTGATCCTGGAGACCCGGGATCAAATCCCACATCGGGCTCCCGGTGCATGGAGCCTGCTTCTCCCTCTGCCTATGTCTCTGTCTCTGTCTCTCTCTCTCTCTCTCTCTCTCTCTCTCTCTGTGTGTGTGTGTGTGTGTGACTATCATAAATAAAAAAAAAAGAAATTGGAGATACTTTCAATTCAGGAAGATGGTGTACATATATTTTGCCTTGTATCTCCTGCTGAGTACAGCTACAACATAAGAAGCCTTTGAAACGTGGAGAGAAGAAGGCAGACTGGCTAGCATCCTTGGGACTCAAGGAACAACATGGTGGTGGGCTCCCCGGGTTTTATTTTTGTCTCATATATCCCAGACTGGGAAGTGAAGAAGCCAGCAACCAGGAAACACCAATGAGTACAGACAAAAGGAAGTTCTAGTGAAAGATTCCTTCCTCCAGTCACACAACCAGGAAAGACCAGTCTAGAAAGACAGAAAATTTTCAGACAATAATTGTTCTACTTCTAACTAAACATTGTAGAAAACACTGTGGCTCTTCCTCCACCCAGAGCAGTAAAGGCCAAGTTGGAGAGCCTAGACTTCCATGCTCATAAAACTGTAACAAGACACCTCCAAACACTCACTGGGATTGCATCAGAGAAAGCCAAATAGGAACCCAGGATTTTCATCTCCACCAGCTGCTAATAAGGCTCCTACCACTGTAGTACCAGTGAAGACTATCCCATTTCCACCCAACAGCAAAGAGGAGTGGTCCTCCCTCATTGGGGAAGCTGGACTTCGAAGTCTACCTGGCAGTGATGAGGTGTGCCCCTGCCCCTTTCCTTGCTGGACCAGTGTCAGAAAGATTCAGCTAAAACAGAAGAGAAGGGAAGCAAGACTGAAGACCAGAAAAATAATAGATAAAGGCAGTGAAACAGCTAGTTCTTTGAAAAGATTAAAAAAATAAGGCAAAAAAACATAAGGCAAATATCTAGCAAGAATGAGAAAGTAAAATGAGAAGAGATGCACATTACTAATATAAAATTCAATAGGCAATATCACTGTAGACTCTACAGACATCAAAAGCATAAAGAATACTACAAACACCTCTATCCACATAAATTTAACAACTTAGAGGAAATGGATCAATTATTGTAAAGCACTATCTCAACTTATCCAATATGAAATAGATAATTTGAACAGCCAGTAACTAGTAAAGAAATTGAATTCATAATTAAAAAGATCCTGGGGCAGCCTGGGTGGCTCAGCAGTTTAGTGCCGCCTTCAGCCCAGGCCTTGATCCTGGAGACCCGGGATTGAGTCTCACATCAGGCTCCCTGCATGGAGCCTACTTCTCCCTCTGCCTGTGTCTGCCTCTTTCTCTCTCTTCTTTCTTTGTCTCTCTCTCTCTCTCTCTCTCATGAATAAATAAATAATCTAAAAAAAAATATCCTGGAAAAGAAACCACTAGGTCCATGTAGTTTTACTGGTGAATTCTACAAATATTTAAAGAACACCAACTCTAGAAAATCTTTCCCAAAGACAGAAGAGCATGCTTCCCAAATCATTTTATGAAGCTAGTATTACTCTGATATCAAAACCAGAGAGTACAAAAAAATAAAACTATACACCAACATTCCTCATGAATATAAGTACAAAAGTCTTTAAGCTATGAACTCTAACTGTAATCTGTGTTCTCTCCAAAACTGATTAGTAGGAAGTATAAGTTGAGATTTTCAGGATCTATTCTAAGGTATAGTGCAAATAATTTATTATTAGAGATAGCTAATAATACAGATACTAGAAAAATAGTCAATGATTTACAGGAAAAATGAAAAGATTTAAAGTTATCAGCATAATAATGGCAGACTGACTCCTTACATTCTGATAGCTCTCTTTGGAAAGGGGGTTATGAAGGAGTTTGGGACTGGTAAACATGGGATATTGGGATAATTCTGGCTGAGCCTCTGAAAGACCCAGAAAGGGATTGTCATTCCTAAGGCAGAGCAGAAAAAAAGTCTGAAAAGCACACTGCCTCCGAGCATAACTGGCATTAACATTGCTATTTCCTTCAAGTCCACTGAAACAAAGAACAAAATAAAATGTAAAAGTTAGTATTTTCAAAACTCTTGGAGGCCAGTTTTTAGTGTGAGCTCCTTAAAAGCACAAGACCAGATATTCTACTCTGTCCTACACCATCTGCAAACCTGAGAAGTCTGGGTATTTAGTTTGATCAAAAAGTGGGCTTTTTGTGGAGTTTTGGAGTCTCAGGTCAGACTTATCGCTTTAACTTGTAATACCAGACCCTCATTTTGCCGCTTTCTTGCATAAGGCCCGAAGAAAAACATTTGTATTTCTCCCATCCAGAAAGGTATTTTTTTTTCCAGAAAGGTATTTTTAAAAAAGACATAGTGATAGGCATAGTCATAGTAACCTAGTGACCCCAGGGTGTGTCTTGAGATTCAGAAAGAAACGAGGCACACAGACCATCACATTCCTTGTACTGTTGCCTTTGAAGATCTGCCAGTTTGTCCGGTCAGAGCTGTATGCCACATAGAACTCCATGGTGTAGTAGGACTTCAGATACTGTTTGGCACCTTGTGTCTGGATCCCTGTGAATACGACCTCCCTCTGCATGTCTATCTGCAATATAGCAAAGCCATTAAACAGAACTGTTCTTGTCAACAAGTCACACAATTAAGTCCTTCCTTAATTCGTTGTGTAACCAGCTTTCTTTAGAACCAAAAAGTCAGCACCTAAGGTCTTAGCAAACTAATAAAATGGCTAGATACAATCCGTAGTTGAGCACAGGGTACCTGGACTTAAATCCAGCTGTATGTGACTTTTGGCAGGTAATTAGTCCTCTGTGCCTTAGTTTTTGCATCTGTGAAAAAGATATCTAGGGTATTACTAGAACTAACCTCATATGGTTCATTTTGACTATGTAAAGTACTTAGGATAGTGACTAGAACATTGCAAGAACAACAAAGAGAAATTATTAAATCACTGTCACTTTATTATAATAGTACTGTAAATATTGTCAGGTTTATAAGATATACCTGGATCCAAGGTTTAGAGTCAAGTTCTGTTGAAGGATTTTCTGGGATCCAAGCATTATATGACCCACCATTATTTAATCTTGCTAATTTGGGCTCCCAATAACCTAAGTCCAAAACAGAAAAAAAAATTATTTTGAATTAAAAAACAAAAACATATAACTAGCAATTTCCCAGGTAAGTTTAGTCCCAGTGGAAGACCAGATCTCTGCAGGAGCTTCTACTGAATTTAAGAGACCAGACAGTTGACATAGGCCTCAGCTACTAAGTCAGTTCATGGTGATGAAATCTTCAGGTCTGCTTGGTCAGTTGTCAACTACCACCCACCTCCTTTCTTGTACAGAAGTTGTGTTTATCTTTTCCCACTAATGTTAATGTGGTTGTTGCTGAGTGTGCTTGCTTATGGGGAGGACGTGGAAGGACTTATGGGAGCCTCATGATCCCTTGCAACCGACCTCTTGGTCCTGGGTAGGGATTTGAGGCAGAGAGAGGAAATTTAGGAAATCCTGACAGACTGGGTGATCAGCAAAGTTTCTTGAATGGGTGAGTGGTTGGCACAAGAAAGACCCCTATTAACAGGGAGAATAGTATCTGGCCATAAGACCTTGTAAATCTGGCTGGAATATTATGCTTGTGATCAAACCTGGGACGAGGATGAATGGGGAAAGTTTTGGAAACAGGCACATGATCATAAGAGTAAGGGATTCACTCCTTGTTCAATCCCTGCTGAGAGGTTGTACTGCTTGTGTAGAGATTCTGAGGACCCCTCGCTCTTGGTCTTTCCTGGGACAGACTCTTTGGGAACATTATACACCAGAGAGGGTGACAGTGATCAAGGAGTGCCAACAGGTTTTAGTGTCTATCATATTGCTCCTTCCTCTACCAGATGAGCACCTCAAGATGGAGCTGCTTTACCATGTGGTAGAGAAAAGCCTGGAGGGGAGTCATGATCCATAGATTAAATAGGCAGGGTTGTCATGGGTTGTTTTTCAGGCTGTGTACTGCATAACTGTAGGATATGCTTCCAAAGTCTATGATGCTGCTACTTACCCAAATGCTCAGAAGCCTTAATTTGTGAATCAGCTATGATGCCAGTGCTTAGTCCCATTGGCATCTTACATTCTACAAAACAAAGCAAACCAAAACAATGAATAATTTTTGCTTAGAAAATACACATAACAAAGTAAAAGTTCCATGGCTAGAGATTATACCCCTGGTGGGTGAGCTGGTTTCATCTACCTTGTATGGTACTGACTTAAAATATGCCTGGTTATAAAATGGTCAATGTACTAGCAAGACTGGTGCTTTAACAGAAATAGTGACATCCTAGAGGAAAACATGGAAATCCTGAAGCAATTAGTTTTAAGTTGATTTCCATCAGTTTATATCTTGAAATAAACAATTATACAACATTAAGTATTACCCCTTATAAGTCTACATTCCCAAAAGTTGACTTGAAAGTTACAGAGTTATTTACATTCTGATCACAAAAGAAAATGCCAGCTACTGAGATATCTGGATATTGACACGGTACTTGTTACTTAACAGATACTTCATAAATGCTGGCTGGCTGACTTGCATGGCTGGAGGGGTAGAGATGGAAATGATTTCTCAAATACTGAAATGCCAAGTTCAGAGACTATCCCAGTCATTGTTGAATTCCTGGTATCTTTTCCCCTCTCTATTCTAGGAGACTGGAAAATTCTCGCATTCTCTTTCCCACGAATTACACATCATGAAGGAAGATAGTTTATATTGGTTCCCCAACTGAGAAGAATGCCTTTGGGCTGAAACATGTGATTTAAGTTTCCTAGAAGACTCATGTTTGCAGTTCAATCAGATATGGGTCAGAATAAAAGTAGTTACTGGTACACACGATGCCTCTGTCATGCAGAGTTCTCAGAGCTCAATATTTCCACTCTAAAAGTTAATAATGTTCTAGCAGGGACCCTCCTGCTAAAAATATCACGTGGCTCTTGGATGGTACCTCTGTCTATGATGAGAAATGGTGTTTGCATCCCTGCTCTCTGGTATTCTCCAACCTCTGTGTTGAGGAGCCACCAACCAGGTTTTGATGACTTCATTTCAAGAGTTTTAAATGAACCTAAAATAGACAGTGAAGGACAACGTTAACCACCCCAAGTTAACAATATTAGTTGGCAGCTATCAAAGAATCCTAACATCCCTGCACCACAAGAGGCTTTAGAAAAGAAATGAAAAATGATCTATTTCTCTGTAGGCAGGACCAGAGGTGTAAATGAACAGATAAAAACAAAACAGCAATACACATATACATTAGTAAAAATAAATTGCCCCAGGACCTTAAAAAAATCTCCAACTCCCCTTACTAGAAAGAAACTTTCATTTATCTACATATAACATCACAAGCTAACCCATATATAATACAGTTTCTGAGTTCTAAGTATTAAAACAACCTTGAATGACTTATCATTGGGCCTCAAGACTACTGTACATGTTTCCTTTCTCTCCCTTTATTTCATTAGTTTTTTCTTTTTTATGAGAAAATTAAAGTCAAACATTCTTCTCCCATATTTTCAAGTTTCCTATTAAGTTTACATATTTGGATAGAGATGCACGTAAATTGTTTCAGAAAATCACTGAAAGAATGACATTTCTGAAACTTCTGATGGTCCATTCTGATACTTAATGCTTCCCACTGCCAGTTAATTCTGAAATTCTGCTGACTGTAATTCATGTCTATTTTCCAGATTGGGAGTTAAAATTAATAGCTGATGATCATTCTCCTTTAATACCAGAAAAAGATTCTAGCCTCCCACACTCCAATACAGGTATTTAGATTTGAAGGTTTAGATGGGCCAGCCAATTCCAGCTTCTCAGTGTTTCACACAGGCTTGTGGGAAGGGGGACCCATCTGGCAATTTTACATCCAGTGAAAAGTCAAGAATAAGTCTGGCCTAATCCCCTCCATCTCTGACTTTAACAGAGTGAGTCTTTATAGCTTTATTAGTGAGCCACAGCCTGAATGGAGCAAACAAGAATACCCTTTCCCCATCCTTAATCAAACCAGTCCCAATTGGACCTGCTGTACCTTTCTGAGGCTGACTCACATAGCAACTTCTCCATCCAAAGTACTGGCAAGGGATGCCTGTCTGCCTTCACTAGCTTCTCACAGCATTTGTGGAAGATAGGCTACTTGTGAAAAATGCAGTGTCCCTGGCACCTGCCCAAAATCTAGCAGATCAAAGTCTTTGAAAGCAAAATCTCTGCCTTAGCATTTGCATTTTAACCAGCTTCTTAGAATTTTACTATGCCTGTTACAGTTTGAGAGTCCATGGCATCTAGCACTCATACCCCTACTTACACAGAGATACACCTACAAACAACTCGTTGGCACATAAAAATCCTTTGTGATTTTTTTTAAAACCTTCTCATTATTTTGTACACGAAAAGCTCTAACTACCCTTCTTATTCTTTAGCTTTTATGATCATTAAAAAACTCCCCCTCCTACCAAACAGCCTCATGAGTCAGTTTAAGATTAAGATTCCTGTAGCTGTTTGGCCAAAGATATCGGAGTGAGAGTGTGAGGAATAGAATTCAAGAATGCAAGAATCCCCAAACCCTAGGAAGTTTTTAATCTCCTTCCCAACAGAAAGCTTTTGCTGCCTGAGCCATGTGGGATTCATTTCGTAATCTGTTTAAGACCTGGCCTAAGTGACCCAGAGTGGTTTGGAAAAAACTGCATAAGACATACCATCTTTGTAGAACTGAGTTGAGCCACACATTTAGCCTGTGTGGTGCTATAAATAGTGAATGCATTAGCTGGCTCTTTTGTACTCTGCATTTTGTTTGAGGATAAGTCTCTGCTCGTGATCTCTGCCAGAACCCATGCCTGACTCTTAGGCAGTAAATGCACAGGGGGGAATGAGGGACAGTGACAGTTGCCAAGTTGCCTCCTCTAGCCATTTTTCATCAGGGACCTCTTTTTATTGTGCACTTCTTTACCAGGCAGCAGGGGCCAGACCCCGAGCTGGTGCTGTTGAGTGCCATTTTCCAGCAAGGTCTGGCCATGAAAATGAACCACATGGATGTCTCGGGAGCCGCCCATGTTCAACAGATGCAACCTCACCCACTCTTGCTCGTACATTCTCAGGCCGGGCAAGTTGTAGGTCATCCCATTGATGGCTGAAAGGACAGAGAGTTGCGATCAGTTATAAATCTGTGTACACCAGCAGAGAGGCGAGTAAGGAGGTCTGAGGCATCCTAGCTACCACCCATCTTCCTGTCGCTGTGACTACCCAGGCATAATAAGGACCCCTGTGTGTCCTGATATCAGTGAGAGGCTAAAACAGGTCCTCTTCACACTAGCCAACAGCAGTTTCCTGCAGTTTATCACTCTCCAACCCGCACTTCAGACTTCCCTTGCTCTGTATTTCACTCACTTACCCTTGACATTTACAGTGTAGATTTTCCTGTGCTACAAAAACACAAATATGAGCCAGATAAGTGACTCCAGTGGTTAGAGGAAAGACAGTGAGGGGGTACACAAAAAATCATTGCAAGGCTGCCTAAATTTAGAGATAGTTCCAGGCAAAATCAGAAAGGCAGACCAATGAGGTTCATGTTTATTCATTTGTATGATAGCTCCTCTGCCCTTTCCCCAGCTTAAATGTCAAGGGTTTTCAGGCTTCATCCACTCTCTGCTCAGTGAAACATATGTGAGAATGTATATGTGTGTGTATGTGTGTGTGAATGAGTGTGTGTGCTTAAATCACCTGGTGAGCTTAATCACCTTAAAAAATAATACAAAATTTTACTGATGTAGCTTTGGGCTCCCATGTATTTAACTGAGATTGAAGTGAGTGAAGTTTTTATTAGTGATATTGTTCTAAAGTTAAAAGAACTCTATGGAATTTCAGGAACTGAGCAAGTGAATTCGGGGAGGGAGAGGAGTTGAGATCATCTTGGCACCTTCAAGGTTACACCAGGCATGAGAGCACCTATCTTCCCACTTCTAATGCCAGGCCTTACTCCCTCATCAGGGCAGGAAATAGATCTCAAGTGATTATCAGGTCAGCATTGCTAAATCATTACATTAGGATATGGAATGTAGACACTCAACATAGCAGGTGCTCAGTAAACATTTGATAAATTAAACTGAGTGATAGAGTTTGTTCATTTATTCACTAATTCAGTAAACAATTACTGAGCGCATACTGCAAAGGCCAGGTGCTGAGTTTGAAGCTGGGAACTCAGGCGGTCTGCTCAATCAAATACCCTGATAAATACTATACCATGGGGATTACCCAATTACAGAGACTTCAACTACAATGCATTTAAAACTAAACCATACTGGATGTATTTTACTCTTTCTTTGAGGAATTGGGAAGCAGTGGCTTGAGGGTTCTCAGACATTACAGGATAGCCAAGAGACCAGCAGATCTGATTCTGAGGCCTATGCTTTCCCATGAGGTTGGAAGATTTCAGGAGAGTTTGCTTCCCACCCCCGAGACCAAGTGCCATGGATTAAAAAGCCTAGAAATGGTAGGAGAAGAGAAAAGGAAGTTCTGCTTGGAGTTTATCAGTTAGCTTTCCACTAATTCTATTTTAGAACACCTAATAGAATCTTTTTAACCTTGTGCGATAAGCAGTCAGGGGGGAGGGTTTTAGAGAAGATCATAAATCATATTGTTTACGTCTCTACTCCAAAGTGTTGATATGGGTGATATCAGATTGTATTCCACATGAACAGAAGTTTAATGAGAAAAGTAGAGTTAAGAAGGGCAGCCCAAGTGTAAATGGGCCAGAGGGGGCAGTATAGACCTACTTAGCCTTGGTGAATTATGGTGGCAGTGAAGTGGCTGTTGTGTATGTCATTATTATTATTATTATTATTATTATTATTATTCCTTAAGCAATAGCAACTTTCTCCTTTCCTGTTACATGGAATGACTGACTGACCCCTACCCAAAGCATAGATCCTTCATGTCAGAAATCTTGCAGCCATCCCCTACATTCACCAAAATCTGAAAACAGGGCTTATCAGTTTCCATTTATTCTCTAACCCCCAAATCATTCTCTTTGTTGTTCACCAAATCCTAAATTCTGTCTTTCTCTAAAACTACTTTTAACTCAGTGGACACTTAACAGACAAAATTCCTGAATGGAGTTCAGGGAACATATGCTTTTCTCACTCCCCTGACAAATGCTCCCTTGACATGATTCTCCTATCACTCAACTACCCAGTGTTCTATCTTGTTCTATTTTAGATGCTTCGGATGCCACCTGGGAACTTCTGAGAGCTGGAACTGTCACCATCATTCTTCTTTAGAAAGTACATATGGGTAATTACTTCTTCTAAATAAATGATTGTTCCTTTAGTGATCAAAGATAGGTTTATTAACTGTTTACACTGCAGAGTAATGCTAATGCTTTTTGATTCATGCTACCAGCTGTGGCACACTGGCTTTTTGTTGGTTGGTCTCCCGTGCTAGCTTTCAGACCTTCTCTGGGTCCTTTATGTGCAGTGCCACCTGCCGGGTGACATTAGCCCTCAGACATTTAAGGACCAGCGGTGGGTTGTAGCTCCCAATTTTTCAGAAGCACCTTTTGTCTAATTTTATGAAGACCTAGGGCAAGAATCACAGTCACCCCTTGTGATTTAGTTCAGAGATTAGATCAAAGTCAAAGGAAAATACCATGAAACTCATGAGAGTGTTTTGCTTCTGAGGATGTAAGTCTCCAAGACCTTGGGGACTGGGCCTTCTTTTTATAGTACCAGCTCTTCTTCTCATCAAAGACCATAAAAAGTAAGATGAATTCTCTTATATCCATGGGTATGTTGCTCTTATCAAGTACTCCTTTTCGACAGATCAGAAGGGGACCTATCAAGCCAGAATGGATATCCTTTTCCTGGAAGACAGTAGATGCAAATTTCACAGATTTTCTCTTTCTCAGGATTTCCTTTGCTTTTTGGTAATCTCTGATTTATAGAGAAGAGGAAACCTCAGGGGCTCTGAATTTGAAGATTATAGATGAGTAGCTTATTAAGCATGGGTATCATCTGATTTTGTAGCACTCATAGTCCTTTATCTGATTAGTCCTTTATCTCGGCATGTCAGTAATGATAATGTTAATGACAATATCAGTACTATTATAATTACTATTTATTGAGCATCTACTCTCATAGCAAATATTTTGCTGGTAGTATCTTATTTAATTCAGACAGCAATCCTGTTTAATAAAAATAAGCTCACTTATTAAGCAAACATTACCAAGTGTTTATTGTGTGCGATCTACTCTTTTCTCATTTTTAGCTTTAGAAACTGAGGCCGAGTGAGATCAAGTGATTATCTTAGGCTCACATGGTAAGTGACAGGATAGGGATTGAAATCTGTCTGTGCTCTCTCTCTCTCTCTCTCTCTCTCCCATGCCCCAAATGAAGCCACCTTGATTTTGCAGTTCTTTCATAAAGAACAAAAGAAAGCTTAAACTTGCTCAAGGAAATTGCAAATAAATGTCTTCCTCTGCAAAGGTAGTCACTCTGACTGGGGTCAACCATTTCAATACTCCTCCCTCCTCTCCACTGAACACCTGCTACTCTCCCACAATCATCTGAAGACAAATAGCTATAGACTGTTAATCCTTACACATTCCTCATGGAGAGCAAGACATTTAATGAGAAATCATTTGACTCTTCCATTTGGTGGACTCAGGTCATAAGGTTAGGGAAATGACAAAAACTTTCAATCAATATACCTACCGGGTTTACTGCTGAGTAGTAGGCCCACGCCCGACAGGCAGAGCCAGGATTTTCCGGCCCAGATCGTGTGGTGGCGTGCCATACATACGTATAACTGCTATTTGGCTGAACAGCATTATCTTCCTTAAACCATTCAGGAGAATCATCTTCATAAGTCTTTCCCTCTGATGATTTTTCATAGGAAAGCCCATGGGCATGAAGAGAGTATGGTCTGGATGCTAAATTTTTAAAACGAACCTAGAAAAAAGAATGATCCACAAATGGACTTAAGTTCAACAAAAATTCAAATTAAAAAAAATGGTCAATTTATAAGCAAAAGTGGATGGTTAGAGACTTAGATCTATATACAGTAAGATATATTAATTGCATACAAGTACAAAGTAACATAAACATTATGTCATCTAGTTTTTACAATTGTGAGTCAGATAGGGCCCAAGCAGCTTACCCTAGAAACCCCAAACATGTTTGTTCTTTGGCTCAAAACAAAAGTATTGACATTAGGCACAAATGAAATGATCACAGCAGGTGCTGCAGATTTGAAGGTGAATGAGCTTTGGATCTTGCTCACAATACGCTTTCAACCTCCTGATGAAGACACCTACACATGTGGATTCAAGTTATAAATATAGAGACCAAAAGTGTGTAAACAAAGTATGAATGGGGTTAAATGGGGATGCTTGAAAGGGGCAATTGGGTTGAATGTGCAGGAGAGGTTGTGTAGGAAAGACAGTTTCTTAGGGAAAACAGATTTGGCCCTTACAGAACAAACAGGAGCTCAGCAAAGGCCAAAATAAAATCATGAGATCATTTTTTTCTTTTCTTTTTTTTTTTTGAGACCATTTTTTTTCTTGAAGATTATCAAATTACTTGGCAAGCAGTCTCTGAAGAGAAATGTAATTATTTGTTAATTTTGGAAAATAAATTACCTATAGCCCTCTTGCCCCTTTCGCTGCTACAACCCCCTGGTGCTTGTGAAAATTCCTCTGATGATCTTAGCAATGCTCAAAAGATGACTTACTTGAATAACATCATCCACTTCAGCTCTAATAACAGGACCAAGAATGCCGAGATGCTCTTCATACTCCCCCAAAGGATCACGTTTGGTAAAAGTGCTATCAAGGTACTTTCGAAAGACTACTTTCTTGTATACGGTGTTCTCTTGAGCATGTGTATGGTCATCGACATCTTCACTAAAATAATTAAGAATGGTATTTGTTTAAAAGAACAAATGAAAAACCATTCAAAGAATTAGGGGAATTATCCCTGTTTTGGGTATAGTATCTAGCATGAATATTTAATCAATACTTGAGGAACAAATGAATGAGAATATAATGAGTAAAAACTTAAACCAGTAAATATCCTTCAGATCCTAGTTCGCATATCATTGCTTAGGTTGTTTTCCTATAAACCTTTAGACTAGGCCAAATCTCTCTATATCATTCTTTAAGTTTCCATAGTATTGTCATAGTATATATAGTATATTCTTGTAGTATTTTTATATTTCTCTAGTATATATGGTAAATTATATGTCATTTATTTGTGATATTATCTATTAAAATCTGACTCTGATACTAGAGTGAAAGCCCCATGAGGTCAGGAATCATACCTAGTTTGCTCACTGTTTTATTTCTAGTACCTCACAAGTTACCTGGCACATAGTAGGTACTTGATAGATTTTTGTTTAATGCATTAATGAATGAACAAATATAATCATATATTCATATCACAAATTTTAATATCAGAAGCAGACAAAGCCATGCAATGGGATAGTGCCAGGGCTTGGGGCTGTCAGGTGACAATTGTCACCCCTGTGAAGGCCACTAGATGGCAGTTTGTACTCTGAAAGTAGCCATTCTCACATTTGTTTGGTTAAATCAGATTATTCCTTGTGTAATTCACCAGCCCCGTCTGGGGCCAGGGCACATCATATTTTCTCACTGACTCTTAAATTTCTCAAGCCTATGGAAGCAGGCCAAAAGTTCCTCCATTAGTCTCACAGTATTTTTTATGCACCAGGAGAATCCCATTCTGCCTTCCTTCCAGTCTTCCTGGACCACTGGCCCCATCCTTCCAGACTCTGAGCATAACATAGTTTCACAGAACACATGGGGACAAGCAAAGCAACTTTGACTGCCATAAACATGGGTTGCATATCTGGAATGGTATATAAGATTTTGAAGGAATTGGTTCCATTCCTTTCCACTTTGGAAAGGCCTTGAATCTTATTCCTTTAGGGCCTCTCTTAGAAATCCTTAAACTATTTATTCTCATATAACAATGGGAAAATGTGTGTGTGTGTGTGTGTGGTGTGTGTGTTATTATTGTATTTAAGAGGAAGAAGAACAGAGGAAGAGGGAGAGAGAGAATCTTAAGCAGGCTCCATGCCCGGTGTGGAGCCTGACATAGCCCTGAAATCATGACCTGAACTGAAATCAACAAGAGTTGGAAGCTTAACTGACTAAGCCACCCAGGCACCCTGAAAATGTATTTTAAACTAACAGAGTTCTTATATGGAAATGCCAGGATGCAGATTAATGAAATAATTTCTGTAAGCCATACCATGCATTGTGTCTCCTTACTCTAATTACACTTTGGTTTTTGATTTTTAGTGTATGTAACTGTTAGCTTCTGTAAAAGCTGTGTACTATAGTTAGACAGTTTAAGCATGGTCACCACATTGTGTCCCAGAGAACCTGTAGCTGGCTAAACTTTGCCCCTTGTCCCTCTCTCTCTTCTTTCTCTATATTGTTATCCAAGAATACACAGTCCAGCCCATTATGGCTTTCCATCGTTAAGCAGAATTGAATTGAAAACTCTTTTAAAAACGTATATGGATTCCTTAGAAACCCTCTGTTGTAAGTTAGGGCACTTACAAACTTGCATGAACTCCTTCAACTCTATGGTTGAAGGGTGGCTGGAACCCTGCAACGTTAAATCTGAAGAGGATCTTGGGCACCATTTGGTGTAACACCTTCATTTAAAAAATGAAAGTAACAGGGTCCAGGAAAGGAACTGACATATTCCAGGAAACAAGGAATGGCTTAGAACTTTTGAAGTGTTTCTCATTGATCTTTGGATAAACACCAAAATTCTTCCCATGGCCTACAAAACCTAGTGGCATTTGGTCTTTGCAGAGCTAGTGCTTTCTTAGCACTCACTCTCTTCTTGAGCTCCAACTACACATGCTTGAGGACTTCCTTCTTCCACAGGGCCTCATCATGCTTTTCTCTCTGTCTAGACTGTTCTCTCCTCTCTACTTCTTGCCTGGTTCACTCCTATTCATCTTCTGATCTCAGGTCAAATGCCACTTCTTCAGGGTCAGATTCCTCAAGTCTCATATCACCATGTATCTACCTTTCCTTCTCGGTCTTTAGCTAGTTATATTTTACACTTATTTATGTGAGCAATAAATTCATATCCACCCACCCAACTAGACACAAATTCCATGGGGACAGGAGTCATGTATATTTACATTCTCTTTTAGAGTCTCAGCACTTAGCACAATGCTTAGGAGAGAATAAGCATTCATTAAAGAGTTATTAAATGAGTGATTCTATTAGCCAAGTTAAAACTCAAGTTCAAATAAAGAAAACTTGTCATTTAATGATTGTCTCAGTTGAAGGCATAAACTTGCTTTTTGTTTCTAAACTGGTTTATATCCTTGGCCTCTGATACTGGAACCTCATGTAATTTGAATTAAACATCACTAAGATGCTGTATACTTTATGTTGACGAGTAAACAATTTTAAAATGTTTTTTGGTAAACAAATGCAAAAGGAGATTTGTACATCATAAATTTTGATTTGAAGCCAACTTCAATGAAATTTTGTTGAGTAGCAGGTAGCTATGGATAGGTTGGGTTCTGCATTGAGGCAAGAAAAGGGAGTAGAAACGTGTGGTGAGAGGAGGAGAGGAGAGAGCTTCTTTAACTATAGAATATCATAGACTTCTTACAGCGATTGTTCTTATACTGTCCAAATGTCACCTAATGTAGGGAAGCTCAACTGGAATTGACAAAGGAAATTCTATAGGACAAATTCCAATAGGGGACCTAAATTATACTTAGTATAATTTACCCAGAATTATTTCCTTGGACTGTAGCAATCTTTTTAGCAGTAGTGGAAAATGAGAATATACAAGGAGGAAATTTGGTCAAACCTTTGAGCAAATTTTGAATAATCCCAGTATAGTTCTTCAGCAGCAATGTAATAATATTTTCTGTTTCCATTGTTGCTGCGGAGGTACCATGCTGCAATGTTGTCAGGATTTCTGGAGGAGTTAATGTCTGTCCTAGTGTCAGTTTGGTAAGGGTTATCATAGGTCACATAACCAATTTCAGCAGAGTATTCTTCACTGCTCTCTTCCTTCTGCCTTGGAATAATCTCAATATAATCTCCGTCATTTGCACTGAGACCTACTACAACTGGTGGATTAAGTTCCTCTGGTGGAAAAGCATTATTTAGGGTAGGAGATGGTGTGAGAGATGGCACTTGACCAAGGTCTGGATAAGGCAAAGTCTGACCAAATTCTGGAAGAAGAACTGATGGACTAGATTCAGAGGTGTAGGATGTCTGATCAAGGTCTAGGGGAAGTGATGTCTGCCTGAGATCAGGAGGAAGGGCTGTTTGACTAATGTCTGGAGAGAGAGTTGCCTGGCTGAGGTCTGGGGAAAGGAGAATCTGATCAAAGTCTGGAGAAAGGATCGTCTGGCCAAAGTCTGGAGAAAAGGTTGTCTGGTCGAGGTCTGGAGAAAGTGTTGTTTGGTCAAAGTCTGGAGAAAGGGTTGTCTTACTGAGGTCTGGAGAAAGGGTTGTCTGGCTGAGGTCTGGAGAAAAGGTTGTCTGGTCGAGGTCTGGAGAAAGCGTTGTTTGGTCAAAGTCTGGAGAAAGGGTTGTCTTACTGAGTCTGGAGAAAGGGTTGTCTGGCTGAGGTCTGGAGAAAAGGTTGTCTGGTCAAGGTCTGGAAAAGGTTGTCTGGTCGAGGTCTGGAGAAAGCGTTGTTTGGTCAAAGTCTGGAGAAAGGGTTGTCTTACTGAGGTCTGGAGAAAGGGTTGTCTGGCTGAGGTCTGGAGAAAAGGTTGTCTGGTCGAGGTCTGGAGAAAAGGTTGTCTGGTCGAGGTCTGGAGAAAGCATTGTTTGGTCAAAGTCTGGAGAAAGGGTTGTCTTACTGAGGTCTGGAGAAAGGGTTGTCTGGCTGAGGTCTGGAGAAAAGGTTGTCTGGTCAAGGTCTGGAGAAAAGGTTGTCTGGTCGAGGTCTGGAGAAAGCGTTGTTTGGTCGAAGTCTAGAGAAAAGGTTGTCTGGTCAAGGTCTGGAGAAAAGGTTGTCTGGTCGAGGTCTGGAGAAAGCGTTGTTTGGTCGAAGTCTGGAGAAAGGGTTGCCTTGCTGAGGTCTGGAGAAAGTGTTGTCTGGTCGAGATCTGCAGAGATGGTTGCCTGCCAGGCTTCAGGTTCCAAGGAGGGGAACATTTGACCAATGTCAGTAGGGAAGGGCTCGTGTCTTAGGTCATAGTCCTGCATCTGGCCAGGCTCTGGGGGAGATGTGTGACTAGAGTCCACAGTGGAGTGCATTGAATCAGAGTCTTGAATAGGGAATGTTTGATAGTGTTCTTCTGGGAGTACTGTCTGATAAAGATCTAAAGGGGAGCTTGTTTGACTGGTGTCATTTGGGGGATTCTGATTATGGTCAGGAAGTGAGGCTAACAGGGTAAGATTCACAGAGGGGAATATCTGATTGAGGTCTGCAGGAAAAGATCTTCCATTGGATTTATGGAGTAATGATGAATGATCAAGTCTCCTGACTGAAAATGTGGTATTGGCCTTTCCTCTTAGAGGATGGAAGCTCCTTGGAGATAGAGGAATAGGGTGTGCAAGCTTCTGTTCTTTTTTCTTTTTTCGTGTCTTAATGAGAAAAAGGCTTTTCTTCAATCCACCATTTCCTCTGTCCCATTTTACTTGTAGAGTTTTATTTCTAACTCCAGAAAATTTTGGGTAACCACTCTGCTTTCTGTGGTTGTTTGAGAGTGGGATGCTTTCTCCCCAAGACTTTGATGTATTCTGGGGGCTGTCCAGCAGCTTATCAACAGCCATGTCTTCATCAGCATCTGGGACTATTTCATAACTACCTTTCTCAGAAACAAGATGCCATTTCCCATTCAAAATCTTAGATGGATTCTTTTGTTTTAAAAGTAACAGATCATTGGGAAGGTCTTTCCAGGGTCCTATTCTGGAAGGAGAAGAGTTGCCTTGGCTTAAATGTCTCCCAGGTTTAGGTGCTGAAAATCCCACCTGGGAGAACTTGTGCTTTGCTGTGTGCTCTCTTCCCTTATGCCTAGCATGTTCTTGATTCCTGAATCCTTCTGCATCAAGTGGAAGTAATTTTACCCCTGTGATATCTGACTGCAGAGGATCCTCCATAGAATCTTCAGAATAAGGGCTGGAATGCTCTGCTGTGGAATGGTTGAGAACTGAGTTCTTGTCTAAGCCAATGTGTCCCAGAGGGGGACCAGCTGTGGTGGCTTCTGGGTGAGGAAGAGTTTTCTGAGGTTTTGCAAAGTTATAGACAATAGGCCTGCTAAAATTACGTAAGGAAGAAGAATTGGAATTAAAAGCTGTATCGGTATTTGGAGGATCGAATTCAGAATTGTTCTCCAGAGCTAGGGCAGTAAGATTAAACTCATCTTCCTCTTGATTAAGTGATGAATTTCTGAATGACCTAATTCCTAACCATGAAGCCAGGTTGTTCTGGTAATCATAGTCAGCATCATTCTCATCACCATTGTCTTCTGGGGAATCACGCATTTTCCGTGTAGTCATGACTGTAGGTGCTGGAGATTCATATATAATCTCATAGGAGTCTTCATAATCATCCCGGATACACTTAACATCCCTGAATCTCAGCCTTAGGTTTTTGCTTCTTGGATTGGAATTTATTGTAGTTAACATCCAAGTTCCTGCAGAACAGAGACAGAGAAAACGGAGAGTGCTAAATCCAGAAAAAATATATAGAAACCCTACAATCCATTGTGGCAGATAATTTTCAATGAACATGATCAGTTAGTGATACTCAAGTGTGGTGTAGGGGCCACTGCTGATCATGTTCTACAATGACATAAGGAGAGAAGTTGGGTGTAAGTTGTTTAGAAAACTGTTTACCAATTTGACATTGCTGTGTATCCAAGCATGGGATCAGTGCGCTTATCTCATATAACAGAATATGGATCAAAAGTATTGACCAGTGGAGATTAGGGAGAAAAGTATTAGCACAGATAGTTTAAGAGTCACTATACTTAAAAAGGATGAGTTAGGAATAAAGTGAGCTTTGAATATCATAAACGTGTTGTTTGAAAATTGGAGTAGGGGGGAGGATGATGATCTTCACTCCTATAAGTAAGAGACATCTAGATATTTCTAAGCAATAAATGATTCAAGTGGGCCCAGGGAAATTTTGAATCTCTTTGAAATGGTATTATCCACTGGCATACAGATGGTTTCCTGGGGAGTTTCCAATAGTTACCACTTGTTGAGTGTCTGCTGAGTCCTAAGCAATATATGACAATTAATGGTCAAAACAACCCTGTTAAATGTTATTGTGTTTTTGAGATGAATACACAGAAGCTCAGTGAGGTCAAGTAACATGTCCAAGGTTACACAGATACTGAGTGTCAGAGCACATCTGAGGAACTCCAAAGCCCATGTGCTTTCCTTGCTTTCCACGGCTGTCTCTGAGTCCAGCCTCCAAGGCTCTGTATCTGATGATCACTAACCCACAGTGGCATGACTAGCTTTAAACACTGGAAAGCTCATTTTGATAAAAGAAACACTCTTTTGTGGCTGAATGTTCATGCTTTCTCCTCAAAATCATACCTTATCTTTTTGCTGTTGTGTCTGTACTTCTCATTTAGCCTGGAGAAGAATATATGAAACCCACATTAGGGGACTGGACCCATTTAAGTAATTAATTCCCCAAATAGAAATCATGAAAAGTATTGAAAGGAAAGCCTGTAAGGTACCAGAAAGATAAACTCAGAAACTGTGGTAGTCTGGAAAGCTGCAGCAGACTTTTATAGACCAGAGGTTCCTTTCCAACTGTCCAGGCTCTTACCAACATTATCCATTGTGACGGTCACAGATTCCCCATGCATAGGGAAGAGGGTCAAGGTGTCTTCATGTCTCTTTCCATAGATGAATGAATGCCCAGTGAAGTGAATGGTCAAAATGTCATCCTGGGTCCCTATACTGCAGAAGTGCCACTGGACAGTGTCATCAAAGCAGAATCCTAGTGTGGGTATACTCTCGGGCACATAGCCATTGATAGCTGAAAGAGTAAAATCTGTTAACATACAAGCCTCTGCCAACAAAAAGGAATGTGTCTAATTATACCTAAGATTAATGTCTCAATATTAATTTGGTTGTGTCAAAGCAGTAATTATGATAAACTTCACCAGGTCTAACATGTGACTAGAAGGTCAAACTCAGAACTCAGACATCCCAAATGAGAACTTATTTTCCTAAGTTCTCCCTTGGCTAAGGGAAAAATATTAGGATAAAGACAAAGCCTTTCATTCATGTTGACTTATTCACTCATTTGTCAAGTGTATATCAAATGCCCTGTTTTCCACATTTTGCTTTTAAAGATATTCTAGAGCGTCTGCCTTGGGCTCAGGTCATGATGCTGGGGTCCTGGGATAGAGTCCCTGCTTCTCCCTCTGCCTATGTCTCTGCCTCTCTTTCTGTGTCTCTCGTGAATAAATAAATAAAATCTTAAAAAAAAAGATATTCTAAACATCAACTTAGAATATTATTTAGAATAATTCTTCCTGGAAGAAAAGCATAATATAAGAAATTCATATTGACATATTAGTGAATAAGAAGTAATGTGCCTAAAAGGCATGCATATTTAGCATATTTACCAATTTTTTATTGTTCCTTCTTTACATTGAGATAATCTATATTTTCATTCAAGTACTGAGTTCACATATTTTCATTATCTTTCAAAAGCAGTATATTTACTTAGGTTTTAAGCATGGTAATAAAATCACAGGTTTAATTTCTGTGAGGGCAAGGCCCACATCAGCCCAGGTTACCACTCCAGCCCTGATAACAGTACAATGTCTGGCACTAGTGAACACTTAAATATTTACTGAATAACTTCCTGACATAATACGCTTGTAGTTTGTATTATATTCAGGAGACTCTTCTAAATGGTCTATAGCTGTATGGTCTAGTACTGTAGCCACTAGTTACAAGTGGCTATTGAGCACTTGAAATGTGGACAAACTGGATTGACATGTGCTGTAAGTGTAAAATACACACCAGATTTCAGAGACCTAGTATGAAATAAAAAAGGAAATCTCATCAATTTTTATATTGGTTTATATTAAAATGATAATATTTGGGATATATTTCTCTTTAATTATTCATATAGCTACTAGAAATTTTTAAATTATATTTGTGGCTCACACATAATTTCTAATGGATAGTACTAGACCAAAACTATGACAGATTCACTGCCGAAAATGAAACTATGCAAAGAAAGCTGAATAACTCCCCATTTGGAATTATTTTCATGGCACATGCCAGTTCTGATAATTCCAATAATTCATCTGAAACTATATGAATAAACTATGGAGAAGTCCTCCTCATATCTATGATTACCTATTAGAGAAAGTGATCATAATGACTCTTGACTGAGGAACAGTGGTGGAGACACTGACCACTGTGGCAAAGTTTGCTTCTAGCTGGTTTACTGAAATTTCTCTCAGTCTTCTCATAGCATTGGCTTTTGGTGCTGAAATTGAAAACCACAGCAAATGCCTCAACTTTGGCTCATGGAATTCCTTCTGTTCTGAACTTCTTACTGCTCACTTCAAACCTCTTCATGGCTTGGCTTTTTAAGATTCTTGGCTCCCCATATGCATATTGCCTTAGTTTGATTTGGCCATCCACCTTTGGATTACTTACTTTCTTTCTGCCCTGGCCATAAAGACTGTTCACCTTGCACCCAGTCTAAAACTCCCATATACTGCTGACCAAAGCCTGTAGCCCCTTTCCTCACCACCCCCACCTCTCACTCTCTTCCTTTAGAGTGGATATGCCAAGAGCATGTACATATATGTATATGCACATTTGGAGCATGAGACCAAGAAGCTTTCCTAAGGAGAACAAGCTTTTGGCCATTTGCTTAACAGGGTTGCTATCACCCAGTAACTTCATCATCAAATCCCTGGATTGCAGTTGAGGATGAGAGATGAGTGGATTCTAATCCATGTCTCTGCCTTTACGCACATACTTTAAGCATGGGAGTGAAAACATGATGGACAAAAACAGTGATTTGACTTACTGCTCATGATGTTTGATTCATAAAACTTGGGGTCATCACGTTTCACCTTATCAGGATTTTCACAGAACTTGTTGATATTGTCCTCAATGTACCAGCTCTTGTTCTCATCAAACACAGCAAACACAGCCTGCTGCTCAATGTCTGCTGCCCTCTGGAGGATAAACGTGCTGTGTTCAGTAATTAATGTTACAGTTGATACTAACCCACAATACTGAGTTCTTCTCAGAAACCAAAGAGGCACAGTCTTGGGGACACTGAAGCCACAAATTCAGGCATTTATGAGAGCCAATTTTGTACAGAGCCTTTTTTTTTGTACAGAGCCTTTGTTAGAACCAATGTAATATGCAAAGACAAACAGAGCAGATCAGAAAACACCCTAATAGAAAAATTTCTCCTCATGGCAGCTGTAATTGTTATCTCTGTAAGTGGATACATTTTAACCTGAATAATGGACTAGATGTGCTCCAAAAAGTTGCAAAGGATAGAGCAGAAGGTTGTAATAGGAAAGCTTTCTATCTCTCCCTGTTTCCTTTCTTAGCTCAAGAAATTAAAGTCTTCCAAATACCCATTTCTGATTTTTCTAGGAATAGATTTATTTTGTATGCCTTAGGATGAACTTCTTTGCCTTAATGGGAATTTTAAGTTAATAATATAAGACTATTATTCTCCAATGAAGATCCATATCTTTGTTCACTTTTTTCTCTATAATTTAGTCTCACTAGAGGTGGACCATTGCCTGGGTTCAACTTCATCAGATGCTATGTCCCCAAATTGTTATCTCTCTGGTGCAGGTCTCTTAAAAATAACAAGGGTTGGTAGAAAGCTTTACACTTTTACCAGGTGGTATCTCGCTGAGCCCCAAAATAACCCTGTAAAATTTGTTTAGGAGGGCATTACCCATTTGATAAAAGGAAGAAACAAGTGACTTGCTGATCACACAGCAGAAGACCTGGAATTTCACACCAAGACAAAATATGGTGTCACATGATAGAACTGCCTTCTAGAGTAAGAATCTAGATGAAAATAGACAAGAAAAAAAAAAAAGCCCAAAGGAATAAATGTTGTCAGATTTTCACTGAAGAGGACAACATAATATTTTCTGTTCTCTAGAAGAAGCCTCATTATTTAGCAAGGAGATCTAATCTGTTCCAGCCAGAAGAAGTTCTCAGAGTTTCTGAAAGTTTATTTCATGGATGGAATACCTGTATGCCTCGCTTATCCAGGGATCTGCTCTTACAAATTAGAAGTAGCCCAATCAGCCCAGAGGCAATGTCCCTTGTGACGTCCACATTACTGTAGTATGGTCTCGTTAAGCACTGTGCATCATTTTCTGTGGGTTCATCAGACTCTAGGATGTTCCACTTATAAGTATAGGTTTCCCCTGGTTGAACTGCTCTGATCATGGTGTTATTGTCTGAAAGAAAATAGAGTCAAAATTATTTCCATTTTCGAAATTATTACATTAAACAAATAGACAAACAGTGAGTTCTCATTAAAACCAATTAATATTAGGAAAGGAATATTCTTTTTATATTAAGCTCCACTTAACAGAACCCTGGATTACATGTCGCCATTAGAGATTGTTCCACTAGAGGCTGCTATGGCCGCTATGGCAGCCATGGGACTAAGAATTTACTTCCAAAGCACTAAAGTAAACTAAACCCCTGAAGTGAGCAGGGTTTGGTTCTGACTTTTAGGATACCCTACTTGTATAGTGCCTGACTGCACAAGTTACATTACTGAGGAAAGAGGACCGTAGGAAAATATGGCATCCTCTCAGAGGTGAATAGTCTCATTCAGTAGACTCCAATTCCAACCTGAAGTGAAGGAAGAGTTGACTTCATCTTCATAAGGAGAGAAGGTCACTCCATGAGGGTAAATGCTGTAGACACGGCTGGCCATATTTTTGAACACGATCTACAAAGTTAATTCAAATTCATCATTTCAGGACTTAAATTCAATCGTGAAAATTAACATAGGATGCTAGCTTGGCATATTCACTTGTTGGAGGGTGTGTGTGTGCGTGTGCGCAAACTTGTTCTGTTCCTCTCAGCAGCAACCTCTTCCCATCACCTGGCAGAAACTTTTGAGACAGTTTCACTCACATGGTAAGGTGGAAAATGGAAAGAGAAGTCTTCCCTTAGAAGTGACATTTTCCTCACAATATATCACTCTTTCCAAACTGATCCCCGCGCCCCATCCCCTCTCCTTTCAGCTTGGACCACATCTGTCTTCAGATGTGTCTGTTCCTTCTCCTCTTTAGACCATGATCCCCTTCTCCAGCCTGGCAGATCTCCTAAGACAGTGTCTTGGTGTCATCTTCTGAGGGGCACACAAATAGCCAGATCCTGAATCTCCAGTGAGGTATATTTATACTTGCTAAAAAGCACCTAAAAGGGATGGGGGAAATCAGAAATGAGGGAAGGGAAAGAGGAACTGAGAAAGGCTACTTTCTATCCCTCTGTTATTTTTAAATGAACAGAATTGTCCTTGCATGCAGATATGTTAGTTCACCCCCAAAAAGGGGTGAAGGGGGAGCATCATTTACACAGGAGTCCTAGTTAGGCTCCTTAATCTTCAAAAGAGAACTTTAATCTTATCTTCTGTTGGTTGATTGTCAAAGCATTTGGATCACCCTTAATATATAGATAACCTGCATTCTAGAATCTTGCCAAAGATTGCAACCTTTACTTCTCTGCTGCTCAGTTTTTATCAAAAGCTTGATAACATGTTTTTAAGGAAAGTTGTCTGAAGAACACTTGGTGTTCTTGAATCATATCTAAATTTACCTTCATTGGATTCTAATCATGGGAGAACTACATACTTAGAGCACAATGATGAATTGTTTCTACTCAATTATGTTTACTGTTATGCTCTCAGCTATAATGACAAACATTGTTTTACAAAACTATGGGACTTACTGGTTTATTTATTAAAGAATAATTTCTTTTATTGAGAGACAGAGAGAATGCGTGTGGTGGGGCAGGGGCAGAGGGAGAGAGAGAATCTCAAGCAGACTCCCTGCTGAGCATGGAGCCAGATGAGGGCTGGGTCTCAGGACCCTGAGATTATGACCTGAGCTGTATCAAGAGTCAGATGCTTAACTGACTGAGCCACCCAGGGGCCCCAGCAATTTACTTACTATACCAATGTAGGGGTTATATCAAGGATTCTATGGACTATATTATACTGCATCCTCTTTTTAAGGATCCATGGGAGAAACTGGTCTTGGTATCAGGGGAAACTATGTTTTCTTTATGACTACTGTGAACCTTGCCTTGACATATTTTACTTGGCTACTAGTAAGCTTTGGACAAAATTTGTAGACAACATGCATATGGCATGTGTTTGATTATACCTATGCATGGCTTTATTTTCTTTGTCCTCATATTATCTTTCACCTCCCTTTGGCTCTTTGTTTTTTTCCTTTATAATTTGATAAATTGTCTCAGATGCTTTGTATTATAAGGTAGGCTATAAATCGGAGCAAATACTACATAAAAACTAGAGTTGCATTTGAATTAAAAACTATATGGACAGGGTGCCTGCGTGGCTCAGTGGTTGAGTGTCTGCCTATGGTTCAGGTCGTGGTCCTGGAGTCCTGGGATCAAGTTCCGCATCAGGCTCCCTGTGGAGAGTCTGCTTCTTCCTCTGCCTATGTCTCTACCGTGCTCTGTGTGTGTCTCATGAAAAAATAAATAAAATCTTTAAAAAAACCTACATGGACATATTTTTCTTTTTAATACAAATAACCAGTACTTATAAACTGTCTTTCCTATTTAATTTCTTCCATGGTTCTATATTTCTGTTACTTACTTTGAGTGTGTCTCTGACCTGGGCTCTGATAACAGGGCCCAAGATCCCATCTTCTTTGATATTCAAATTCTCCAAACGCTTGGTGAAAGACTCATCTTGATACTGTTTGTAGACAACCTTCTTATACTGTTTCCCAATTTGGTTTGAGAAATTATCCAAATGCAGAGATCTGTATTTTCTTAAAGTGAAATGAATTTTTTAAAAAATTAAACCATTTCCTCAACTAAAGACCCCAGTATGATGAGGAAACCCTTGTACTTAGAAGTTCTGCTCTTGGATTAGCCAAAGTGCTAGTTTTCTAAAAAAAAAAAAAAAAACAAAAACAAAAAAACAAAAACAAAAACAAAAAAAAACCTTAATGTGGTTTGCAAAGTCCCAATATCTGCTCTCTAGTTGGAAGACTGAAAACCTCTTATCTGTCTTCTCTACCACCGATAAAGTTGTAGCATGGTTGGAAATAACTACTTAGAACTTCCTGTCACTCTGGTCACTAGAAAAGACCTTAGATATCTCTGGGAAAAGGTCTACCCAAAAGAAAGGAGAGGCCATACTATGATTTTTTCTCAAGTCTTCCTTATCACTTAATTTATGGTAACTTTATTGACTTCCCAGGTATTTCTCAATCTCTAAAAGTATGTTCCCATACCAAGAAGCTTTGACTATCTTTATTAGACATAGTTCCACACTGTTGAGCTAGCCCTCCTACCATCCACCCAATCCTAGTGCCAACTAAAAAACAACCACCTTCACCCATCTTCTGTAGCTACTGTGATAAAGGATTTGGGGCAGCAACATGAAACACTTTTCCTCCTGGTCCTCTTTATTGTCTTAGTTTGTAAAAATGGAAGTTCCATGATAGAATTTACCCATTTTTGTGCATTTACTTTGCACAATAAAAAGCACACACTGGGGGATCCCTGGGTGGCTCAGTGGTTTAGCGCCTGCCTTCAGCCCAGGGTGTGATCCTGGAGTCCCAGGATCGAGTCCCGCGTCGGGCTTCCTGCATGGAGCCTGCTTCTGCCTCTCTCTCTCTCTCTCTCTCTCTCTCTCTCTCTCTCTCTCCCTGTGTCTCTCATGAATGCATGAATGAATAAATAAAATTTTTAAAAAAAGCACACACTGTTGCCAGAGTCCTGGAATCTTATCTCAGTTCTGTCAATTATTATTATATAATCCTGAGCAAGTTCTTCTTTTGCTCTTTTTCTCAGTTAAATTTTTTTGAATAGCAAATACATTCAAATGATTTTGATTGCAGTAGAAAGCTCTCATTCACACAGTATATCCCATCAACCCCATCTCTTTGACCTTCCCTGATGTTCCCTGAAGTTCCTAAATATTCACTTGCATTAATTTCATATGTATAATTCCATCATATTCCATATTTAGCATCTTTGCTAAATATATATAATTCCATCATATTTAGCATCTTTATGCATAAAGATGCAAATATGACTTGCAAATATAAATATTCTTATACTCTCATTCCTTTTACAAAAGGCATTTTGACTTTTTTGCATTTTTGAGAATGCATTTTTGAGGTGATTTTGACAAATAAAAATTGTATGTATTTAAGAAGTACAACATGATTATTTATATGTTTATATACGTGATCACCATTTAAGCTAATTAACACTTCCATCAACTCATCTCATTACTATCTTCTTTTTTGTGATGAGAACAGTTAAGATCTAATGTCTTAACAAATTTCAAGTATACAATATTAACTATAGTCACCATGCTGCTTAATTAGTTCCACATATAAGTGAGATTATGCAGTATTTGTCATTTTGTGTCTGGAATATGTCTTAGCATGATATCCTACTGTTTCATCCACGTTGTTTTAAATGACAGGCTTTCCTTCTTTTTTAAGGCTGAGTAATATTCCATAGTGTGTGTGTGTGTGTGTGTGTGTGTGTGTTGTGTGATATATTTTCTTTATCCATTCATCCATCAACAGACACTCAGGTTGTTTCCATATCTTAGCTATCGTGAATAATGCTGCAATGGACATGGGAGTGCAAATATCTCTTTAAAATATTGATTTCATTTCCTTTGGATATATATTCAGAAGTGGGATTGCTGGATCATATGGTACTTCTACTTTTAATTTTTGGAGGAGCCTTCTTACTATTTTTCCATAATGGCTATTCCAGTTTACATTCTTGCCAACAGTGTACAGAGTTCCATTTTCTTCATACCCTCATCAATCCTGGCTACCTCTTTTTTATAGTAGCCATCCTCATAGGTATGAAGTGATAATCTCACTGTGGATATAATTTGTATTTCTCTAATGACTAGTGATGTTGAATACTTTCTCATATACCCATTTGCTATTTGTGACTTCTTTGGAAAAAATGCCTATTTAGATCCTTTGCTCATTTTTAAAAATTTATTTTATTATTTTAAAAAGATTTTATTTTAAGTAATCTCTACACCCAATATGGGGCTTGAACTCACAACCCCAGGATCAAGGGTCCCATGCTCCACTTACTGAGCCAGTCAGGTACCCACCTTTCCCTATTTTTAAATCAGGTAGGGTCTTTTTGGTATTGAGTTTTTAAATATATTTTAGGTTTCAACAGCTTATTAAAGATATGGTTTGTAAATATTTTCTCTCATTCCATAGGTTGCTTTTTTTGTTTGTTTTATTGATTGTTTCTTTTGCTGTCCAGAAGCTTTTTAGTTTGACGTAGGCCCACTTGTTTATTTCTGTTTTTGTTGCCTGTGCTTTTTGTGTTTTGGCTTCTTTGGTCTAAGTGTCTGTTTTTATGCCATCATTATACTATTTGATTTCTATAGCTTTGTAATATAGTTTGAAATAAAAAGTGTAATGGGTCCAGCTTTGCTCTTCCTGTTCAAGATTGTTTTGGCTATTCAGGATCTTTTGTGATTTCAAATGAGTTTTAGAATTGTTTTTTCTATTTTTCTGAAAAATGCCATTGGAATTTTTTAGGGATTGTATTGAATCTGTAGATCACTTTGATTAATATGAATATTTTAGCAAAATTAGCTCTTCCAATCCATTAACATAGAACATTTTTCTTTTTGGTTGTTTCCTCTTCAATATCTTTCATCAGTATTTTATAGTTTTTGTTTTTGTTGTATAGATCTTTTACCTCCTTGGTTAAATTTGTTCCTAAGTGTTATTATTTTTAATTCTATTGGAATGGGCTTGTTTTCTTCATTTCTGTTTTGGATAGACTGCTATTAGTTTAATAAGTGCAGCTGATTTTTATAAGTTTAATTCATATCCTGCAACTTACTGCATTATTTTATTAGTTATAATAGATTTTTGGTGGAATCCTAAGGGTTTTCTATATATAAAATCATATTATCTGCAAAGAGAGACAATTTTACTTTTTCCTTACCAATTTGGATATCTTTTATTTCTTTTTCTTGCCTGATTGCTGTGGCTAGGATTTCTAGCACTATGTTTACTAAAAATGGTAGGCACTCTTGTCTTGTTCCTGACCTTAGAGAAAAAGCTTTCTTAGAATATGATGCTAGCTTTGGGTTTGTCATATATGACCTTTATTGTATACATTTCTTCTGTACCTAACTTGTTAAACGTTTTTTTTTTTTATCAAGATAAGTGTTGAATTTTGTCAATTGTTTCTTCTGCATCACCTGGGTTGCTATTATACTTTTATCCTTCATTTTGTTGATATGATATATTATGTTTATTGATTTGTACATGGTGAAAAATCCATACATCCTAGGGATAACCTCACTTGATCATGGTGTATGATCATTTTAATCTGCTGTATACTAATACTTTGGTGATTTTTGCATCTGTGTTCAACAAGGATATTGAGCTGTCATTTTCTTTTTTTGTATTCTCCTTATCTGGCTTTGGCATGAGGAAAATGCTGGCCTTGTAAAATAAGTTTGGAAGTGTTGTCTCCTCTTCAATATTTTGGAAGAATTTGTAGCTTAGTATTAATTCTTTAGATGTTTGGTATAATTCATCTGTGAAGCCATGTGATACTGGGCTTTTCTTTGTTCAGAGGCTTTTGATCACTGATTCAATCTTCTTACTTGTTACTGGTCAGTTCAGATGTTCTATTTCTTTATGATTCAGTCTTCCTAGGGTGTATATTTCTAGGAAATTATCCATTTATTCTAGACTATCTAATATGTTGGCATATCATCATTATAGTAGTTTCTCAGGATCCTTTGCATCTCTGTGGTATCAATTGTAATGTCTCCTCTTTCAGTTATAATTTTAATTATTTGAGTCCTCTCTTTCCTTGGTTAGTTTAGCTAAAGGTTTGTCCATTTGGTTTATCTTTTCAAAAAAACTATCAGTTATGTTGATCTTTTCTATTTTTTTTCCAGTGTCTACCTCATTTATTTTTCCTCTAATCTCTATTTCATTCCTTTGCTAACTGGGCTTAATCTGCAGCCCCCGTCCAACTCCTTGAGGTATAAAGTTAGGTTATTTGAGAACTTTCTTTGTTTTTTAAATTTTTTTTATTTTTTTATTTATGATAGTCACACACAGAGAGAGAGAGAGAGAGGCAGAGACACAGGCAGAGAGAGAAGCAGGCTCCATGCAGGATCCCACTTTCTTTGTTTTTTAATGTAGGCATTTATTTCTATAAACTTCTCTCACAACTGTTTTTGCTGTATTCCTAAGTTTTTGTATGTTGTGTTTCCATTTTCATTTGTCTCATGATATTTTTTTTTAAATTTCCCACTAGATTTCTTTTTGACCATTACGGAAAGTGTGTTTAATTTCCACATATTTGTGAATTTTCCAATTTTCTTTCTGTTACTGATTTCCAGTTTCATACCACTGTGGTCAGAAAAGATATTTGATATGATTTTGGTAAGACTTATATGATGTATCCTAGAGAATGTTTCATGTATGGTTGCAAAGAATATGTATTCTGCTGCTGTTGGATGGATTGTTCTTTACATGTCTATTAGGTCTAATTGGTCTATAGTGTTATTCAATTCCACTATTTCCTTATTGATTTTATGTCTAGATGATTTATCTATTGTTTAAAGTGAGGTATTTAATTTGCCACTTTTATTGTATTGTTGTATATTTCTCCATTCAGTTCTCTTAATATCTGCTTCATATATTTAGGTGGTCCAATGTTAGGGGGTATATATATTTTTAATTGTTATAACCTCTTGATAAATTAACCCCTTTATCATATAGTGACCTTATCTCTTATGACAGTTTGACTTAAAGTCTATTTTGTCTTATATAATTATAGTCACTTCTGTTCTCCTTTGGTTACCATTTGCATGGAAATTTTTTTTTTTATCATTTTACTTTTAACAAATGTGTATCCTTAAAGCTAAAGTGAGGGGATCCCTGGGTGGTGCAGCGGTTTGGTGCCTGCCTGTGGCCCACGGCGCGATCCTGGAGACCCGGGATCGAATCCCACATCGGGCTCCCAGTGCGTGGAGCCTGCTTTTCCCTCTGCCTGTGTCTCTGCCTCTCTCTCTCTCTGTGTGACTATCATAAAAAAAAAAAAAGCTAAAGTGAGTCTCGTGTAGGCAGTACATTATTAGATCTTAGTTTTTATCCATCTGGCTACTCTTATCTTTTTATTGGAGAATTTAATCCATTTATATTTAGAATAAGCATTGATAGGTAAGGATTTACTATTGATATTTTGTTGTTTTCTGACTTTCTTGTAGTTCTTTTGTTTCTTTCTTCCTCTGTTGCTATATTTCCTATGATTTGCTGATTTTTTTGTACTTATATGTTTTTATTCTTTTATCTTCTGTGTACCTACTAGAGGTAGAAATTTTTGCTTTGTGGGTGCCATGAGGCTTACATCAAACGTCTAAAAGTTCTAACAATTTATTTTAAGCTGATGACAACTTAAATTCAACTGTATAAAAATTTCTACATACTATTACTTACTATTCCCTCCCAACTTGTGCTATTGATGTTGCACTTTATATCTTTGTATATCCATTAACAAAGTATTTAACCTGGTGATTTTAATGCTTTTGTCTTTAGACTTTTATTTTAAAGTTTTTTTTAAAATTTTAAATAGAGTTAAAAGTCATTATGCACCACCATTACGGTATTACAGTATTCTGAATTTGACTATATATTTAGCTTTACCAGAAATTTTTCTACTTTCATATTGTTACTTAGTGTCTTTTCAACTTAAAGAACTCTCTTTAGCATTTCTTTTAAGGCAGGCTAGTAACGCTTAATTCTCTCAGCTTTTGTCTTGGAATGTCTCTATCTCTCCACTTCTGAAGAACAGCTTTGATTGATATAGTATTATTTGTTGGCAGATCGTTCTTTTTTTCCTTTCAGCAACTTGAGTATATCCCACACTTTCCTAGCTTACAAGGTTTCTTCTGAGAAATCTCGATAGCCTTATAGGGGTCCCCTTGTATATGACGAGTTCTTTATCTCTTGCTTCTTTCAGGATTCTCTCTTTGACTTTTGACAATTTGATAATCATATATCTCAGGATAATATTTGGGTAGATCTTGCTTGAAGTCCTTTGAGGTTCATGAATATGTTTATCTATAACCCTCCCAAGATTGGGGAAGTTTTTAGTTATTATCTTAATTTAATTTATTCATGAGAGACACAGAAAGAGGCAGAGACATAGGTAGAGGGAGAAGCAGGTTCCTTGCAGGGAGTCAGATGTGAGACTTGATCCCTGGACCGCGGGATCACACTCTGAGCCAAAGGCAGAGACTCAACTGCTGAGCTACCCAGGTGTCCCAGTCACTATCTTCATATAAGCTTTCTGCTCCTTCATTTCTTCTCCTTTAGGGACTCTCATCATGCATATATTCATTCTTTTGATGGTATCCTATAGGTAATATAAGCTTTCTTCACTCTCTTCCGTTTTTTTTCCTTTTTGTCTTTGTAACTGAATAATTTCTCATTATTTATTTTTCTGAAATTTTCTTCTGCATGATCCAGTCTGCTATTGAAGCTTTCTATTGAATTTTTAAGTTCTGTCATTATATCCTTCTGTTCTAGGTTCTCTGTTTAGTTATTTTTGATGGTTTTTATTTATTTATTACACTTATTTTATTTATGTATTGTTTTCCTGATTTCATTTCATTGCCTATCTGTTCTCCTGCACCTCACTGAACTTCTTTAAGATGATTATTTTGAATTTTTCATGAGAGAATTTGTAGATTTCTATTTCTTTCACATTGATTACTTGAGTTTTATTAGTTTCCTTTGTAGTGCCATATTTGCCTGACTTTTTGTGATTCATGTAGCCTTGTGTTCATGTACATTTGAAGGTTCAAACGCTTTCTTTCAGTATTACTGACTAATTTTGTCAGGTAGAGTCTCCTGTTAAGTCTCTGGGCTGCTGGGATTACTTCTGTGATTACAGTTGAATGAAGCTGGAACCCGGTCATGTAGCTTCTTCTGAGCCTGTAGTGGCATCTGTGGTTGGCAGGCCTTTTACCAGGGGCTCAGGTGGGCATGGACCCTATCTGGTCTCTGGGCTGATGGGACTGCCTCTAGGACCTTGGTCAGTAAAGCTAGTGTTGGGATAGTGGCTTATTTCAAAGTCTAAAGTTGAGTCTGCAAATGGCAGCATTGTTATCTTTTTGATGGGTGTGGCTCCTATTTGGTCCTTGAGAAGGCTCCCACCAAGCCATTGAGTATGTCCCTGGGTGGGCAAGACTGCAGTTGGCAGAGTTGGAGCTGGGTTACAGTGATGCTTCAAGATCTGCAGTGGGACTAAGGTCTGCAGACCAGCCTCCTGGGGCATAGATGGTTGTGGCTCCCTTAAAGTCTCTTAGCTGTCAGGACTATTCCAGGGCTGAAGCTGGTTACAGGGCCACTTTAAGATCTATACTCAAACCAAAATCTGTAGGCCACCCTCTAGGGTCACAGACAGGTGTGACTTCTCTCGGGTCCTTTGGCAAATGGAGCTGGTGTCAAGACCAAGGCCAAGTGGGGCTATACCTGAGTCCACGATGCGACAAGGCTGTTTCCAAGTTTGTAGCTGGGAGCACCATCAATGAATCTACCACCTGAGCATGAGATGCCTTCTCAAAATATCCTTCTTTTGTCTTGGCTCCCACTGGGAAGATCTTGAAGTTTCTCAAATTCCTACCTCAACCCCAAAGCTCTCACAGAAGTACTTCTCTTTGTGGATAGCTGTCAAATTACTATTGCTGTGTGGGGAGATGAGCAGGAGATCTCCTATTCTACCATTTTTTCCTCCCTTGAATTCTTAATCTAACAATGTATCTTGGAGAACTTTTTATATTAATACACAGAGGGCATTTACATCCTTTCTTGAAAACAGATATATAGTATTCCATCATATAGATGTGCCATAATTTATTAAACTAATTTCCTATTGATGGATATTTTAGGTTATTTCCAATCTTTTGCTACTACTAACAGTGCAGTAGTGAATATCCAGTACATACATCATTTCACATGTGAACAAGTATGTCTATATAGTAAATTCCCAGAGTAAGATTGTCGGGTCAGAGGACATATGCATTTATAATTGTGATACATATTTTCAAAAACATCCTCTAGAATAGCTGTACCAAACTACTCTTCCACCAACAACGTATGATAGTGCTGTTTCCTACAGCCTTGTCAACAGATTTTATCATCTGGATTTGTGAGTCTGAGAGGTAGAAAATAGTATCTCAGTGTAGTTTAATTTGCACTTCTCTTGTCATGAGTGAGCTCAAATATTTTTCAAGTGTCAAGAGTTATTTGAATTTCTAAATTTCTTACTCTCTCATATCTTTTTAATCTAAAAAATAAATAAAAGCTGTTTCTAACTTGGAGAGTTAAAGTAACACTCATAGAAAATATTTCACACAGTGCCTGGCAATAGCAAGCATCCGACAAGTGGTAGCTGCTATTACTATTACTACTTCTACTACTACTGTCATTATTGTTACTACTACTATTACTACTCTTATGCTGCTGAGTTCCCTTGGTGAGTTTAGAGTAATTCCAGATTGGTTTGGACAAAAAGACTTGAATCCAATACATATATACTCTTCAGAGCTATCAACTCATGGCATTTCATGCCATGAACCTATGACCCCTGAACCTTCACACAGTGATAAGAACCACCAAACTCACTTGTCCATATTTGCTGGTATTACAGGTGCATAGTCCCAAATGACTTCTTCAGCAGCGATGAAGTATTCCCACCTCTTCATGTACCGCCTCTGGTCACGAGTCAGTTTCTTAGGATTCCTGGTTTTCTTTGCACAGTTTTTAATGTCTATGTAAGCCTGCATCCCAGCTGAATTAGAATACAAAGGCAGTGAAGGAATTTGAGAGAAATTATAGCTGACCAAAATGCCTATCTTTTAAAAAAACTTATGAAGGGTTTAAATAATACCTTTATTGTTAAGTAAAGGTAATGCTCAGACAAATTCTGAACATTTTGGTCTGCAGCTCTTCTGGTGCAGTACAGAAAGGGGCAAGAATAAAAAGCAAAGGAAAGAGAGGATGGGTTAGAGAAAAAACTTGAAAAGACTTTCTTTGTTTCCTTCAAGAAAAGAAGTATAATTTCAAGATCCTTAAAATCTTACGACTTAGGCCTTGTTGATTTCTCATTTTTCCTGTCATCTGTCCCTTTATTTGTAAAATGTAGATAATGATAGTACATACCATGCAAAATTGTTGTTAAAAATTAAATAAGTAGGGATGCCTGTGTGGCTCAGCAGTTGGGCATCTGCCTTTGGCTCAGGTCATGATCTCGGGGTCCTGGGATCGAGTCCCACATCAGGCTCCCCGTGGGCAGCCTGCTTCTCCCTCTGCCTATATTTCTGCCCCTTTCTGTGTGTGTGTTTCTCATGTGTAAATAAATAAAATCTTCTTTGAAAATTAAGTAAGTTAATATAAAAAGCATTTAATGTCAATAATGTTACTGTTGTTGTTTTATTGTTATTGGGGACTCTATCTTCCAGGTATGTATGGTGACAATTTCAAAATTTTGACTGCTCAGTGTGAATAGGAAACAAAATAGTCCCATCAAACTGTCTCTTTCTTGTGTGTCTGGCTTTTATATACATTGTTTTATAAGAAAATAATTTCCTATAGTGATACCATTTACTTACATTTTGGCCTCCTTTTACCCAGACCTTCTTCCCAACAGTTTTAAAGCAACAATGTGTAATAGAACAATTAGTTATTTTGTTTACATGATCCCACATAACAACCTGGGCTGATTTTCTTTTCCCCACCAAAATTTACTGATGTTCTTTAAAGCTCACTCCTCAGCTAGTTAAATATTATGGTGTTTTTTTTCCATTCAAAATCCATCCATTGGGTTGCTCTTTATTCCAGGTTTTGTGTTCGTCTTTTTACAAAAGAGAATCTTTTCAGGTTAAATCTTTTGCACTTTCAGTAACTTTGTGCCTCCATAAATTTGCAGACGTTTGATTTGTTCTAGCACTTAGATTTTTTTTTCTTTAGCTGAATACTAAAGCCCATGGAAGAATATCTCTATGTATGTATTTGTTTCCTTCCTTTTTTTCTCCTTTTGAGGAAGTAGACCCTTCTTCAGCTTTTGCTTCACTTTAAAAATTTTTTGTCAATTTCCCCACTTCCTCCATCCCAACGAATGTGTTATAAGTCTAAGAGCAGAAGAACTAAATTCTGTTCTCAGGACTAAGGTATGTGTGTCTGGAGCATGAATGGCTTGAAAAGGCAAAGGAGAATCGGGGAGTTAGTGTTTGGGTAGAAAAGATCCTATATTCACAAGCAAAACTGTTGGAGGAATTTCTTACCTTGAAAATGTCTTGTGATGAGAGAAGATATGATCCACTTTCCCTGTGGGCTCATAGTCATGTTTGCAGTAGTGGATGTAGCACTGACAAGGGTGATGGCTGAGATCTTATGATGATTCTGCTCCAAGACCTGGCCATTGAAATGAATGGAGAACAGTTCTGGCCCAGAGCTCATTCCAATCAGATGCCAGCTAATGTGGTCATGGGCACAAACTGTGATATCTGACAGGGAGAGATGGGGAGTGAAACAGGCAGTCAGCACTTTATAATAAAAAATTCAAAAAATAAAAATAAAATAAAATAAAATAAAAAATTCACTCACTAGACATGTATTGAACACCTGCTATGCATCAGGCATTGTTTCTGGGGGTATAGACACTCCAACTGTGGTTCCTGCCCTAGCAAAGTAGACATCTGAGTGACGGGAAAACAAGCAGTCATAACTCATTGCAATGACTGGTACTCTAGAGGTAAGAATGAGAGCCCAGAGATGAGGAAAGCTAATTCAAAAACACAAGGATTGCTAAGGGATTAGGCCAGGGAGGAAACCAAGTAGGTAACCAATCATCCTGGTTTACCTGGGACTGAGGAGTTTCCCAGGATGCAGGACTTCCTGCAGGGAAAGCCTGGGGTATTGGTCACTCTAGAATCAATTTAGGTTCAGCTGGAGGGAATTACCAGAGCCCTCAGTAAGGCTGAGTTCAGGGGCCTAATCCTCTCAGCTGGATAGAGGTCAAAGCTCTGCCTAAGGGAATGATGTGAAGATGCTTTAATAATTTTTGATTGCTTCTATAACCACTTGTTGATTGTTTAAGTGACAAGGCAATGAATTATTCTGTGGAATATAGCCTCTTCTTAAATGCAATGGACAAGTCTTCATTATGCTAGGCCACTGGGAGCATTTCATGGATGGAATAATGAGAACTGAGGACAAAAGTTGAGTTCTGCTCCCTTTGTGTGCTCACAGTTACTGGGAAAATGTTAATTTGCTCTGTAGGAGATTCCAACCCTAGCTTCCATCCTTGGCTTGAGTTTCAAATTTCAGATCCATAATCACTAGATACTACATTATGGGGCTGAGAATCAGTTCCATACCCATAGAGAGGCTGAGGGGCTTGTATTTTTTAAGAGACCACTTTAGGGATTCCTAGATGGTGGTTGAGAACAAGAAGTTAGAAACTTTGAACAAGAAACTAGAAGGTAGGAGGCTTTGATGAAAGTATTTACCCCAAAGAAGTGCTTATGCTGAATTAAGCACTTAATATATCTGTATTAGCATTTATTTATTTTTTTAAAAGACTTTATTTACTTATTCATGAGAGACACACACAGAGAGAGAGAGAGAGAGAGAGAGGCAGAGACACAGGCAGAGGGAGAAGCAGGCTCCATGCAGGGAGCCAGACTTGGGACTCCATCCCTGGTCTCCAGGATCACAACCTGGGCTGAAGGTGGTGCTAAACCACTGAGCCACCCAGGCTGCCTGTATTAGCATTTATTGCATTTATTTAATTTACCTGCTCCATAACGTAATTGCACAGTATTAACTTTTCTATTCTACTAACAATGGCCCCCAATCCTGCCTCTCTTAAAGCCCCAACTACTCTTTTTTGACTATAAACTCATAATCTCTATGCCCTGACCAAATTATTAATTTTTTGCATATGGCTTGCCTTTGTTTGACTTCTATAAGTTTACAGAAATGATTCACTCTGCTAGGACACAGATACAAGGTCTCCTTGACCACTCCCCTCTAAAGATTATAGCACTGGCAATGCTATTTTATATGTAAAAAATTCCTAAACACTCTCTGCTCCAGGGTAAATGGTCAATCCATTTTTGTAAATAGTCACATTGAGACAATAAGCTTCCAAGGATCACACTAAGCAAAGATAGAACAAGGCTGGAACTCAGATCTAAGACAGAGGTCAATTAACTAATTTTTGGAACTCTGAACAATCAAAACCAGAGTCATCTGAACACATTTGTAATAACCCAGGTGGGAAGATAGCGCCAAATCAAATAGAATACAGTTTAAAAGCAATGTCCAGACCTCAACTTTTGACAAGTTTTGTTTTCAGTAAGTAAAGCCACTTGTGATTTTCAGATACAGAGAATGACCTCTGAGAAGCTTAGTGTTTTGAAGTATGGAATTATTTAATAAAATAATGTTTTCATTTTTCCCTTATTTTCCTCAGGATCTTTGGTCTAAGTCGTTTCTATCAGAGGTGGAAGGAGTCTGGATGGGAGTCAGTTTTGTCGTTTTTCTTGCTCTTAACAGTTGCTATGATTTTGCTTTTCCAAAAGAGCCTCTATGCAAATGGAAAGAGAGAACATCCTACATGCCATTGGATATTACTCATCCATCACCTTTTGAAATGCTCACAGTATTTTTGTAGGTGGGATATTTCTCCTAATCTATTCATCTTCACTCTAAATGTCTTCCTTGTATTCTTTCTGCTGATCCTTCCTGCTAGGGATTGACCTTGAATTTGTATTTTGTAGAGTTTCCTCTATGGAAGAAGCCATGACCACCATGTAGCAGGGACCAAAGAACTCACTGAAGGAGACTGAGCTACTATCTTGGACGTCTTCCTGGAGGCACAGGGTAAGGTGAAACCTGCTCAGATTCCTACATCCAATATATTAAGCTACACAGTCTTTCTCTTAGGTAACTTCCACTTGTCTGTTGAAGTTGTTGGTTAAACAAACAAACAAAAAAACAGATGATGAAATCTTGAGAACCACTGAAGTGGATTACATTATCTTTCTGATTAGGAGTTGAAAAATAGTATGAATTTGGTCAACTTCTGTAGAGCTTTGAGGAAAACAATGGGACCAAAAGCACTGACGATTTTGTTGTGGTTGGAGAGCGTGCAGCCCACATATTACCTGGCATTGTCCCATTCACATAGCCATTGACTGTGTACATTAAAGATGATGACTGGCTCCAGCTCTTGCTTTCATCAAACACAGCAAACATCAGCACATGTTGTTTGTCAAACATCTTCTGAATCCCATTCTCAGTGAGGGTGCCTATGAAAGAAAAGATGTACTTTTTTTTTTTTAAGATGTACTTTTTAATAGCATCCCAGACAGAAGACTCTCACTATGAATTCCCAGATAGCAAAAATTTTAAGGCAAGCAGCCAATCATAATGGTAACTTTAAGAAGTTCTTATTTTAAAAATAGCATCTTGGGGCCCCTTCATGACTCCGTTGGTTCAGCAGTCAATTCTTGATTTCGACTCAGGTCATGATCTCAGGGACATGAGACTGAGCCCTCCATTGAGCTCCACACTCAGCATGAAATCTGCTTGAGATTCTTGCTCTGCTTCTGTCCCTCCCCCACTAGTGTGCACACACACTCTGCCTCTGAAATAAATAAATAAATCTTTTAAAAATAGCATTTTTAACAAGTAATAATGATTGGGGGCTTACTAAAATCCTGGTACCACAGTAAGTATTTTCTCTGACACCTTATAGCCTCAAGGAATGGGGATTTAAGGTAAACTTAGGCACAAGGAAAAAAACATTTGGTGACTGTCAAGGCTTTAGTGAAAGTGTTCATTTCCTCTAGTGTCAACAGGCCAATAAACAGGTACTTAAGTTCAGCTGGCGAAGTATACTCCAAGTTTCATATAGCCATCTTGCTTGTGCATGTGATGAGGCACTAGAGAATTTGTTGAGGTCAAGATTAATCCATTCTCACAGCTGACAAAGGCAGCTGACAGTAAATGAAAGTAAAATAGGACCTTTTTATAAATTTGAATTTTTTTCAGTGCCATCACAGCATCTTTTATATACCAGGCAATGAAAACGTGTATTTCTGTACTGAACAAAAGAATTAGGAATGTATGTATATATGGTGTGTGTGTGTATGTGTAGACAGATGGTGAATCTACCACATTATTTCCCACAGCGTAGTATATCATGGTTGTTTGTTGTTTTAATGAAAGACAGGCTGAATTATTTGGGGGTAAAATGAAAATTCATGCTTGCTCCTAGGCCCAGCCAATGAATTTTTTTTATAAAGTCAATCAAATATGTTTGAAATCTGCCACCCAAACTGTCCAGTATTCTTGTTTATAAGAAAGGAAGCTTGAGTTTTGAGTGTTTGTATACCAAATTACCAACCCAAACCTCAATTATGTTAGTCAAAGTTCTAAGTACACTCAGCAACGTATAGGCTACTGTATAATTTCAAAAAGACTTGGCCTTGAGGTAAGTGTTACAGATTATATGGGCATGGTATCAGAACATACTCTCAGGGATTTACCTGGGGAGTCTTCCAGGACTGAGACAAAGGAAAGATTAAAAGAAATAGGAAGATTCCAACCTTTAAATACCAATCTCAAGCGAGGATCCGGTTTCCGCACTCCTCCCTTTGTTTGATTTATAGAAAGGTTCCAAGATTCTCCTAAGTCTCATTCCATTATAGTATGTCTTACCATTTCAATTTTAGTTTTTGCTCTTTTTATTTTTTTACCTTTCTTACAAATAAGCAGAGGTCCAATCAGCCCAGAGTTGAAGTCCTGTATCAAATTGTCATAGGAGTAATAGATGTGTGTAAGGCATGGAGGGTCATTGTGTGTGGGCCCGCTGTCCTCACTGATATGCCATTCATAGGTGTATTCTTGTCCTGGAGCTATGGCATCATCCATCTTCTCCATAGGGAATGTGTGGTCAGAGTAAGAAGCACCTGGAGAAAAAGAGCCATGAAAACATCTGGACAGTAACTGGGGATGACTTTTTCACCATCCTTAAATTTAGAGGAACATATGATCTCTATAGAGGTATATATACTTTCTGTAGTGAACTTTTACTTTTAAGAAAGATTCACATATACCCACTTCTGTGTCTTTGCAATTATGAAAGCTTTGGTCCATGGTGATCTGAAGTGAATAAGAAAGCTACTAGTATATTTGTTAAAGTTTAGGAAGTTAATTTTCCAGGGTATCTAAATTATTATTATTTAAATATAATCAGAGATCTGAATTACCTTTGATTAGTAAATCATCTCAGAATAAGAGGATGAGGATGGGTTCTATTTCTATTTTTCTCTATGGTGCTTGACAAGACATCTTCCATTAGCATGGGATGTGAGTACGCTCAGAGCTGTTCCTATATTGTTTTGTCTTTCTTCTGTATTTCATATCTTTCTCACCTCTACCACTTTCAGCCCTATTTTATCACTTTATCACACCTCCATCTTCTGAACATCCCAACTGTGCCCAGCTTGGAGTCCAGCTCGTTTAATTAGGTGAATTTCACCATCATCAGCAGGTGCTGGGATTTCTCTTGGAGATGCATTTATCTTTGTTTGGGACAACAGCTTGATAAATTTGACATGGAAAGGGTGATCATCAGAGTGGAGACATGGGCAGCCAATAAGGATCAGAAAAAAAGGCTCAAATGTTTTACACGATGGGGTGAAAGGCTCATGGAAACTATTCTTATGAAGTGACTGTGCTTTTTGAAACCAAATGATTAATTTGACATGGAAAGGGGGATCATCAGAGTAGAGACATGGGCAGCCAGTCAGAAAGAAAAACGCTCAAATGTTTTACATGATGGGGTGAAAGCCTCATGGAAACTATTCTTACTGAAGTGACTGTGCTTTTTGAAACCAAATGATTAATTTCTTTGCTCCCATTCACTTTCCCTCTTCTTCTCTTTATTCCTCCCTTCCTCTCTCTTTTTTTCTGCCCCCTCCCTCTCTTCCTTTCATCATCTTTATTGAAGTGTAAGTTGCATACAATAAAATCCACCAGTAGAATGTTTGCTTAACATTGACAAATGTGTACAGATGTATAGCTACCGTCACAATGAAGGTGCAGAACAGTTCTTTCACTCTGAGAAGCTGCCTTGTACCACTTCCAGTCATCCCTTCCCCCACTCTCTGGGCCCAGCTGCTGCATATCTGCTTTCTGCCACTATATTCCTCTTTCCTATAAGGTCCTATAAGTGGAACAATACATTATATACCCTCTTCTGTTTGTTAGTGTTAGTTAGGATGGTATATCTTTTTTTATCTTTTACTTTTCCTGTCTTTGTCTTTAAAATGGATTTCTCAAATTCAGCATAGAGTAAGGTCTATGCTGAATTGTCTTCTGGCTGCATTGTTTCTACTGATGTTTGCTGTCATTCTGTTTTTTGTTTACCCATCTTACATCTTACCCAGTCTTACAACCCATCTCTTCATTATAGTGTTCTTCCCATGTGCTTATAATTATTGATATAGTTGAGTTTAAGTCTACCATCTTGCTCTTGTCTTTATTCCTTTTTCTTTTCTTTTTTGCTTTATTTTAGATTATTTCTTTTTAGCTAGCTCCACTATTATTTTATTAGCTTTGCTTTGTTTTATTAGTGGTCCCCTTCAGTTTACAAGATATGACTTTGACTTATCAGAGTCTATCTTCAAATAATACTATACCATTTCACTCATAAGACATTTGTAATGATATATTTCCATTTCCTCCCTCCTAACCTCTTTGCTTTTGTATTATGCATACAATTTATTTCTGTATATACAATACACCTAATACTAATTTGTTATCATTTTTGCTTTAAAGTAGAGATAATTATCTTTTTAAGAGATAAAAGGATGAAATATTTTATCTGTATTTACCCATTTATGGAGCTTTTTATTCCTTTTTGTGGATCCAAATATCTTTTTAATATCATTTTTTTTCCTGACTGAAAGACTTGCTTTAACACATTTTTCTGGTGTGCTAGTGAAAAATTACTTCTTCTTTCCATGCCCAAGATAGTCTTTATTTTTTTCTTCATTTTAAATGGATATTTTTGCTTGGTTTAGAATACTAGGTGGACAAATTACCCTCCCCCACTCCATATCAGTACTTTAAAGTAACCCCTAATTGTCTTCTGGCTGCATTGTTTCTACTGATGTTTGCTGTCATTCTGATTTTTGTTTCTGTGTCTTTTTTCATCACAGGTCTTTAGTAACTTGATTATGATGTGCCTTGGCATGGTTTTCTTCATGTTTCTTCTTTTTGTTTTTTTCAAGCCTTTGTAGGTTTATAGATGTCATCACATTTGGAGATTTTTCAGCCATGATTTCTTCACATATTTCTTCTGTTCCTCCCATTCTAGGATTCCAATTACACATATGTGACATCACTTAATATTGTCGCATAGATTACTGATGCTTTGTTCATTTTGTTCAGTCTTTTTTATCTTCAAAATTCATTCAGATAGTTTCTATTGCTATATATAATATTCTCTAATGTTTTCTTTTACAGGGCTGTTAATTTCATCTGGTGTACTTCCCACTTCAGTTATTATATTCATCTGTAGAGTTTCCATTTATGTGTTTTTATGTCTTCTGTCTCTCTCCTCATCATGCTCTAGAGCATATGGAGAATGCTTATAATAGTTGTCTTAATGTCTTTGCCTGCCAGTTCCACCATTTCTTTTATCTCTGATTCTATTTCTATTGATTACTTAATTTCTTCTTGATTATGGGTAGTACTTTTTCTGCTTCTTTTAATGCTTGTTAATTTTTATTAACATTGTGAGTTTTACATGTTGATTGCTGGATTTTGTTGCATTCTTGTAACTAGTATTGAATTTTATGCTGGCACATAGTTGAGAGACACGGAATTGATTTGATACTTTCAAGTCTTTTTTTAAAGGCTTTGTCACCTTTTGAGTAGTATGCAGTCTAGATCAATTTTATCCAACTCCTGTGCCTTCTGTTGATTCTACCTCTACTCATTGCCCATTTATTAGGAGGTCTTCCCACATTTGCTGATGGGAACATAAACTATTTTTATGTGTGTGGTCTAGGGACTGTTCTGCCTGTTTCTTCCTTTCTTTCAATACTTTCTTCATATGCATGTGCAGATCACCGCTTAGTTGAAGACTCAATAGGACATCTGTGTTGATTCTCAAAAATGCTTTCTCTGTGTCTGTACCATCCTCTTCAGGATTCTGTCCTACAAATCCAGCCACTTTTGCCTACCAAAAGCCTAAACTATGTTTCCTTAACTCAAAAGACTGTTGACCATTGTGCTATGCCCTGAAAACCCTCTCCATGCGGTGAGCTTGGGTAATACCTAGGACCTACTTCATTTGTTATTCTTCTCCCACGGAGCATTCTCTCATACTGTCTGTTGTTCAGTGTCTGAAAACTACTCTTTCATATATTTTGTCTGTCTAGTTGTTAAGCAAAGGGGTGAATCTGATACCTCATTTCCAGAAGCCAAAGTCTGAGATGCTAAATTTCTATATAGAATATTTTATATTGCAGCAATGTCAGCTACTCTTGTCTAATTGCACATCGTCAGGAAAATCTAATCCACTCACAAGCACTCATGTGAGTTTGAATGCCATCAGCATATGCTCGGGCTCTCCAGATGGGAGTGAGAAATAGGGCACATGCATCCATCATCAATGAGGCAGAAGATTAAATCAGGTTACTATTTTCTCAACATAAATCCAACTGTGTTAACTCTTTCTGAAAAACTTCAGGAGCATTGCCTTACCCATAGGATAAAGTCCAAGTTTGTTGCTATGGCAGTTGAAGTCATTCATAAGTTTTCCCAGTTTTCCTATCCAGGGTCATCTCCCTCCATACCTTTTATCTGTGCACATTTTGTACTCTAATGGTGACCTATTACCACCAAAATATATCCTAAGTTTGCATTCTTCTCTTTAGCTCTAATACCATCACCCTAGGATAAAACTAGACTCCAGAATTAGCCTATTAACTGGTCACTGGGGTTCTGGTATAAAAAGTACTCTCCTAATCCATTTCCCAACTTGTATACAGAATGATCCCTTAAAACTCCAGATCTTACTTTGCCATATTCCTGCTTAAAATCTTGACAATAGCTTCTTCTTTCACAAAATTCTGAAGATGGACCATAAGTCCATGTATAATCTACCCCTGCTTCTTGCTCCATTCTCATGGTATGTGACTTTCCCCCTTGCTTACTAGGTACCACACTCTTGGGCCACCTTTTAGTTCCTCCAAACAAGCCAAATTCCATCCTGCTTTAGGGTCTTTACAGATATGACTCCCTCCTTCTGTTTAGAATGTTCTTCCTCGCTGTCTTCCTTTGGATAAATGTGTGCTCATCCTTTAGATGTCACCTTAAATGTAAGCCTACTCCTTTTCTGATCTCTAATTGTGCTACATATTTTTTCTTTTACAGCACCCATCATAATTTATAATTAAATATATGTGGCCCTATATGATTGATTTTGTTTTCTCCTAATAGATCATAGCTATTTGCAACATACACATTTCTGTCACCAGAATGTGAGCAACTCAAAGGCAGGTGCTGGATTGTATTTGTGTTAATATCTCTGGTCCTTTCATAGTGCCTAGCATGGAGAAAGTGCTTACTGAGTGTTTACTGAATTCCTAAGATTTAAGGTCCTATAGGTTAGAATCAAGGTTATCAAGTCCTAGCTTACAGGTGTTTTGTTAGGATTGCATGGTATTACAAATAATGAAATGCCAACATTAACATTATGGAAATATTATGTAAGAATCTGAGTTGCTATCTTCTCTAAAACAGCAAGAACAACTAAAATGTGGAGGTCTTACGACACTGGACCAAATTCCTGCTTAGAATTTGCCTGCCCTGAGTCCTGGCTATCCTCTTGAGATAGGACAGTGGCTCTGTGATTCCCAGTCCCTAAAGGACACATTTTTTTCCCACTGAATTA